GTGCGGGGGGGGGGCCCCCTGCCGGTACCGGCTGGGGTAGCCCGGAAGCTGCCAGTGCTAAGAGGCGATCACGATCAAGATCAAGGCGAGCTGTGGTGGGGTGAGGATGAGCAACACTCTGCTATCCTAAACGGGAGAGCGAATTGTCTGTCATAGGCCGGCCAGGCTGTAGCGCGAGGACGCATCGATGAGACAGGACTGCGAAGAAGAAGGGTTGGTGTGAGATTTGCATGGAGAGAAAAAGAAAGAGGCTGTGTGAGGCGAAAGTACGAGGAGGTTGCGAAAAAAAAAAGGACACACACGCCGATGCTGCTGATTTTAGAAGAACATTGAATCCGGACCAACTGGGACCAGACTGCTTCAGGTGAGCAAGCACTTTGCACTTCGGGGCTTTACCAAAGCGGTGCCCAGGCACCTAGGCAGCTACTCGGGGCGACCTCACGCGGTACCTCCAAATATCGTGCGGGATGCTCAGTGGCACAGGTGCCTGGGCGCCAGCAACAGGTACCCCCTACTCCAGACTTCCGCACTCGGACTGTGGGGATAACCACCTACCTGGGCACCTGTGCAGCAAGCAGGCTTGGGGTGTCCCGCCCCGGGACGCTTCTGCACACTGGTGGCAGCCTCACATGTGCTAGCCTACCTCGGTAGGTACCTTCTAGGGTACCTAGTAGTAAACTAACGAGAGACTTTTGCAGCGACCAAGCCGTCCAACATGGACCGAGTACCCAGAGACGAGCCAGCATCAGAGATATACTTGCTCATCAACCAGCATGCAGTGGCAATATGACAAAGTACCGAGTACAGCATATTTATTGCAGGATACTGCGCTGTTGGCAGTCACCGCCATTCCGTGTGTCGCCGCCACCATCTGCCATCCAAGCACAAGCAAAGTAGTACCAGAAATGTCGCTGATGATGATAACATTGCCACAGGCGCTTTAACTATTACTAGTATCAGCACTGTCGAGTCTGGAACTGCAGCCCTCCCACTTCTCAATTTACCCATGCAATCAGGCAGCACGTAGCTAACCAGGACGCTTGTATGTAAGTGTTTGATTCTGATTCACATCGCCGTCTTCAGCATCCGGAGCCACCGTCCGCTCTCCACAACGCCAATCAACCGCACTCTTGACGTTCAACGCAAGACTCGATGTTGGGTTAGCGCCGTTTTCAGAGCGATAGACAGAGTTCAGATGAGCAGTGTCCTGACCCTGGCCCTGGTTGGAGCAATGTCGTGCCTTAGTGCCTTCTGCGCCTCTATGCGCCTCTGGGCCCCGAGCCAGCCTCTCTGCCAGAGACGCCGGGCGAGGCAACAAAGGCTCCATGTGCTCCTCGAACACGAAGCTGCGCCCCAGGTCGCACACAGCTTGCCCAGAGTTTATTCGTGTCGGATGATGAAGACGGGATGGTGAGTGCCGGTTTCTGTGGTCTGAACCATGCAAATACCGTCCACCACACCCCCAAATGATGCTTCGTCATTGCTGGAGCCAACCCGCATCAATCCCTGCACGATTTGCACCAACAATGTTTCTCGACCGTGGTGCCAAGAAATTTCAAAACACCCAAATACAAAGTTTAACACTTTTTTGCGGTCCTAGGCGGTGTCCTCCCAGCGTTCAATCATATCGATAGGCAGTCCTGGCGCCATTTGATGACTGGTTTCATCCATCGGTCCGCAGTAATCGCATGCCCTGGTGGCCTGAAAAAGCAGAGAATTTACATAATCAAATAACGGGAGGGAGGCCACGATACAAAGCCGAAGGAGAGCTTCCGTAGCTCAGTTGGTTAGAGCTTCGTACTAATAAACATTAGTGATGCGGAGGCCGCAGGTTCAAGCCCTGCCGGGAGCACAATCGTTCCACGATGCTTTCCTCTCTGGCTCGTTATTTTTTTTTGTTAATTTTCGATTTCAAATGTCCCTTATTTTTTTTTGTTATTCCTTCCTTTTCAATTCACCGGCTTTCTATTATTTATTATACTTGCACCTACGTTGCTAAAGAAAGTAACTAGCCATCATTGTTTTTCTTCCTTTGTAGTGCTGTCAAGTGCCATCCCCTCAACTGATTGATACGTTCTACAAATCACCGCCATCCCCATCACCGACTTGGAGACCTTGAATCAGAATTAGCTAGTCGAGTTGGAGTTTACTCTACATCGTCACGCCGCTGGGATAATCATGGCTGCATGATTTCCATTCACTTGGTCCAAGTCAGTGTGGGCCGGACATTTGCTCTGTTTAGTTTACTTGTTTTCTTTACCCGTCCTTGCATCATGCCGAGTAATTTTAAAAGGTGAAAAAAAAAACTGATGTCCTTCGTCATAATACCAGCATTATTCCAACCGAAACATCACCGAGGTCAATACAACCTTTGCTAATCGATAGGTGGCGACTTTCAGAGCCTCACTACTATAAACAGGCCTGGAAACCACGCCATCACTTTGGTGAGTGACCCAATAAGAACAGCAAAATCTAAGGTTAGACAACCTTCCAGCCAACTGCATAGACAGACATTCCTTCGTTCAGAGAGGAGAAACAATAAGACAAAAAAAAAATCGACATCACAATAGTCGGCCCATGCAACTCCCCGCAATGTATAGTCCTAAAGTTCTTTCAATGTGCCTTGATATCCGTGTTTACGCCGAAAAAAATGTGAGCGGAATGTCCGCTGATGCCCTCGTGGGGTGTTTAATAAAAAAGTAACCGTTGACGCTTGAGATGAGATGTGTGCGTGGTATCGGTTCGGACGAGGTTATACATCGTCCATCTGCCCTGCTGGTTCTTCGTCCTCATCGTCAAAGCTAGCGACTGAAGACATGCCGTCCTCGTCTTCGGTTTCGGCCCCGGCTTCGTCGGCCGCGTCTTTCGTTGCGTACTTTTGTACATACTCTACAAATCCCATCTATTAGTCCCGAGAGCCATGGTTCCAAGGATCAAAGCGCACTCAATGCTTACCCTTGACCTTGGCGTCGTAACTTTTGGGCTCTCGTATCAACAAGGCGGCTGCCTCTCCGTTGAGGGGATCGGTCGGGTTCGGGTAGCGTAGAAGCTGTGGGAGGAAGACCTCGAAAATGTTGATCATGTCGAACATCGGTGACCATGTTTGGTTGATTACGTCCAAGCAAACGGATCCGGACCTGTCGAGGGCCAATATGTCTCAGTACTGCCAGACACTGCAAAACATTTGGCTTTCCCACTCTGGCGCCATCTGTTTGAACGCATCCAAGACATGCCATGCACCAAGTGTCTACTCACAGCTCATCGATGTTGGGGTGGAAGATGCGGTTGACGAAGCCGATGCTAGGTGACTTATACGGATAGGTATCGGGCAACTCGACGTGCACTTTCCAGAGACCGCCTTCAAAAGGAGCTGTAGGTGGGCGTGTTAGCGTCGAGTATAGAGACATGTGTGGGTGTTCGTCGTGGGCTCTGCATACTCTCGGCCGGGCCCTTGAAACGGACAAAGAACTCTTGCCTGTTTGTCGTTCTGGTAAGAAAGAATTCGTCGGCTTGAAAAGCGCGCAAAGCCAAGGTCAGTAACTTACACTGCGCGAAGTTAGCAGCCATCAAGCAGCAGGGTACGAGGTCACATACTGTTATCGTTGACCAGGGTCACCTCATAGTCACTCATGAGCCTACAAATGTCAGATTGATCGTGGGGTTTGGGGTGAAATTAGACGCAAAGTGTCCACCATACATCCTGTGATTAGTGTTAGCAGGTCATGGACAGCAAAAGCGGTGTCTAGTACGAGGATCGAGTTCGGGTAGCGGCGGGCGTACTTCATGACCTGGACAAGATGTTGTCAGCGATGAGAGGGACTCGTCGTCTACAGCACCAGGCACAGATGGCACTTACATCAGTCTCGATTCTTCGGCGCGGGCTACTCATTTTGGCAGGCTCGTGGCGATGACGGCGTCGCGTGGTGTGTGCTCTTCGAAAGTTCAGGGAATGTCTCACGACTCGGGAACCGGCGACGTCGCTGCTGATAAGGATGGGCTGGAACAAGGGTACGAGATGAAAGACAGTAGGTCAGCGGCGGTTACTGCTTCGACGAAGAAAGATATGCGATGCTTCGGGTGTAAACGGCGACGGATGGACGTTGTCTAACAAATAACGGGAGATGGACGAGATGGCCAAGTGTGCACTACAGTCTCTGGCTTGAGGAGAGAATGTTGGAGGGTCGACTCGACCAGGCTGACCCCTCGGTTGTATTCAGGTGGGTGACGGCGGCACAAGTCGGCACCTGTATGGACATGTATGGGCCTGGCTGGTGCAATCAATGTCACCGGACAGGGCCTACTTGACTGACGTGGTAAATGTCGACATGTCCCCAGTTGCCTCCGTGTCATCTTGTGCCAGTCAAGTCGTGGATTGTGTTCTGGCCCGGTCTGGTGCGGGGTGCGCTCAGCCAGCCAGTCAGTAATCCGGCTTTGGAGCCAGCCAGCGGGCGGGCACTGGCCAGTAACAGCAGTAACTGCAGTAACTAATACCAGACTTGACTCATACAGGATGCAACGGTCTGGTGCCTTTGGGCGTCCGCCAACCCAAGGAGGATCGGCAGCCCCCCGTTGGCCTTGTTCATGCCAAAGACTGGGACCAGAGCCAATCCGGCCAGCCTCTAAACGTGACCCCTCACATGCTGTAGGCACGAGGCATGCACTGATGGCGGAGGCGATGATGCCACTGGGCCGCACCTGCCGCACCTGCAGTCTGGTGGTCCAAAGTGCTTGGATTACCAGTTGAGTCAATCGTTCAATGTCACTTACAGCGCCGCGCAGCGCCTCGCAGACGCCGCAGCCAGCACTGGAGTGGCCGGAAACGACGACACCGGGACCTTACCTATCACCAGACTTCAAAATGTCGAATGCGTCTCGCTCATGTGACCCTCCGCTTATTCATATTCTCCATCCAGTTCTGTCCAAACGACTTCGCCGGCTAAATAGATTTGGCCACACAGTATTGGAAATGACACCGCCGCCAAAGGAACAAAAGCAGTATTAGTAGGCCGCTCCAGGCCGAGGCAGGGCATCGCCATTGTGGCAAATCAGGCTTTGCACCCCTTCAATTGACCGCAATGTGGTAAAACAGCAGAGACGTGAGTTTGAGGCATGACTGGTCGTTTATTCCTCTCTGCCCTTGGGCTTACAGCACCAGTAACAGACAGCGTCGGCATGGCGTATGGCGTATACAACATTTCACAGAACTTCCAAGTGCCATTGCACATTCACAATCCTCTCCCATAGCAACCATCTATTGTTCTCGGCCAAACCTACATATCGGCCCCCCCCCAAACAAGCATTGAAAAAAACACCAACAATACCAGAAAAAATCCGGACAAACAATAACTGACTCGTCTCGAAAACAATTTTATTGTTCCAATGAGACATGATCGACCTTAAGGCGTCTGTATCACCGGCCGCCCCCAGTCTCTCCTCCCTCAACCAACCACATCCCTCCCCAACGTCGTGGCTCCCAATCACCCGAGCCTCGGCACAGGCACGAACCCGTTTCATCGCCCCTCCGATAGACCGAGGAATCCGGTCCGCTCGGCGACGGCGACAAGTGGACGCCGAACGATGCCTCGAGTTAGGAAATATAGGAAGTCCTGGTAAAAAACAAAATAATAGTAATAATCACTAGAATGGGTATTTTTATTTGTTTATTCCTATCTTTTTAAGAATAACTGCATCTTGCCATCCCAATGATACAAAACATTCGGAAAGCACAAACAAAGCCAAGTGACAGGAAGTGGGTCGCCGCACCGTCCTGACTGGTCAACCAGGCACCCGGGATCTGAATCTGGGTTAGCAACTCTGGAACCGACCGGGGACTTCGCCCCAGGGTGCTCCGTACTCCGTACTCGTAAGGGAGGAAAAAAACACCACAATTTCCCAGAGATACTCAGTTCTACAACGTAAAATCCATCATGGCTAGCCTGAATAAAAAACGCTTCTTCCGCCACAATTCAGGCACACCGTTTCTTTTCTTTCCGCATGCTCGGTATGACGACGTTTACACAGTGACGTGCACGCCAAAATATTTTGAGCCTTTTTTTTTCTCTACTCTCGGATATTGTGTATTGCAGTCCCTGTTGTACCGAGTACATCTTTCATTCATTGCCCTTGCAGTACTTGTTCACTCACTACGCTTGCGCGAGTATAAAAGTACCCGCACTGGTACCTCAGGTACACCACATCCGTCCAAGCCTCTCCCACCCCAGAACCATGTCTGCCGTCACCTCCCCCCTTAGACGGTCGTGTGCTCAGCTTACACGAGCATCACCATCAAGCACACTTGCCCTCGCCGCTCTTGCTCGTTCCCCCTTTGTATCTCCATCATCAACTTTCCCCCCCTCCTCGTCAGCATGTGCAATGGCCTCACGTCAGACGAGGCACAGCTCCCACTCACCCATGGGGGCTGCACCCGCCAACCAGCGCAAGAAAGTTACTCTCGGTACCTTGAGGAGTCTGCATCGAAAGGGGGAGCCCATCACCATGATGACTGCCCATGACTTCCCCAGTGCCCACGTTGCCGATCATGCTGGCATGGATGTTATCCTGGTTGGCGACAGCCTGGCCATGGTCTCCTTGGGTATGGAGGATACCAGCGAGGTGCTCGTTGAAGAGATGCTGTTGCATTGTCGATCAGTAGCCCGAGCCACCAAGAGTGCATTCACGGTAAGTCATCTCGTATCATCGTGGGTATCACCTAACATCCTCTTCGTCAGGTTGGTGACCTGCCCATGGGCTCTTATGAGATCGCTCCTGAGCAAGCACTTGCCACCGCCATCCGCTTCATCAAGGAGGGACGCGTTCAGGGCATCAAGTTGGAAGGCGGCAAGGAAATGGTTCCCACCATAGAGAAAATCACCACCGCTGGTATTCCTGTCCTCGGTCACGTTGGTCTCACCCCTCAGCGGCAAAACTCTCTCGGGGGGTTCCGCGTTCAGGGCAAAACCTCCAGCAGCGCCATGAGTCTCCTCGAAGATGCTCTGGGTGTCCAGGCAGCCGGGTGTTTCGCTGTCGTCCTTGAAGCCGTTCCAGCCGAAGTTGCTGCACTCGTCACCCAGAAGTTATCCATCCCCACCATCGGTATTGGTGCCGGTGCCGGCTGCTCAGGCCAAGTTCTTGTCCAAACGGACATGACTGGTAATTTTCCCCCCGGTCGATACCTACCCAAGTTTGTCAAGAAGTATGGTGATGTATGGGGCGAGGCAAAGAAGGCCATCGAGGCCTACCGAGATGATGTCAAAGCCCGCGAGTATCCTGCCAAGGAGCATACGTATCCTATGCCACAGGAAGAATTTGCCGCATTTGAAAAGGGAGTCAAGGCGTTGGAAAATGAAGCTAATCAAGCTTGAGGACGGCACATGTAGAGACATGTTGAGCGGGGGCGGCAGCACTTGATGATTCAGTTTTTGTGAGCGAGCGCATCTGCATTGCATGTGAGGCGGGTTTTCTGATTCTCGGGAGGCATATTTTGCGTTTATAGATATTTCCAGTAAGATAGGTGATAGTTCACCCGAAAGCTGGTGTCATAGAGTAGGCGACAATGAGCTGATCCTGGCCATTCTTGAAGCACTATTTCGGTCAGCATTGCAACTGATATCACGTCCATGCGAGACATGTTAAATTCAAATCATAATCCGACTAGGGAGCACAGAATGAATCTTCCCATGAAGAAAGTCTTCCCGACATACCTGATGTAAATTCCCAACCACCTCATCCAAACTCGGCGCAAACGCACTATTCACGTACAAAAACACGCTATCCGTATCCTTACACCTGAGCTTTCTCCTCAAATATCTCACCACCTCCTCAAACTTTCTCGTTGCACTAATCTTGCATAGCTCCTGCGCCAGACTAGGTGCCGCACCAACGGGCTTGAACTTGACAACCACCTTCTCCTGAGGGAAGCCACCAACACTAGCCAAGGCAGCCGTAGCATCACGCGGTAGGTCCGCCAGCATTACAGAAGCACTCATGGTAAGTGGAAGCTCGGGAGATGCCGTGCCAGAGTCATCATCTTCTTCAGGAGCTGGGTAGCTTGGTGCTGGGGAGGGCGTGTTTGTGCCCAGGGACGTTGACGGTACTGGCTCGCAAGGTCGTACCATCTTGGACGATGGGGGAAACCCGAGATTGACTTCTAGACGGAAAGTAACAGGCGGAATAAACCTGTGGTCTTAGGGTGGTGTTTGAGATCCCATCTTTATCGGGCCTTGGCAAACAGCCCTTGTAATCCAGCGTTGGGTTCACGTGTACAGTGCAACTCTGTATCGTCACTGTACGTCATGCACGGAGTGGACAGGCATCCAGGCCTGAGGCCTGACCACAGATGGCTTTTCTCCCTGGCAACGCGCGGAAGTGGTACTGCATTGGTTTCTTGTAATCTTATTTCATTATGGTAACATACAAAGTACATATATATCAAGTAACCAGTATATGTACAGCCGGGCAATCTCCCACACTCGAAGAATGCTGTGCTTCTTCTGCAACCCTCAGCTATGATCCTTTTCCGCTTTCACCATACACATCATTCCAAAAAATCTGTCAGTCCTGACTTGTTTACTGTCGTCTTCCAATCCATGATCCTACTCCGTTAGTTATAAATGTACCAAGACAAAAAAAAACGCCTTGCCATGATGTGACGTTCCAAAAAGAGAAAAAAAAAGATGAAAAATGCTAAATATGCCTAGCCATGCCGCTTGCGCCGACTTGCATGCAATTTCATGATGCAAAGTGAAAGAAAAATGAAGTGAATATGATAATCGAAAAAATTGTTCAATCAGAAAGGCCGCTGGTGAGGGATCATTCTGGTCTCAACCTTTCGTCGAGGAAGTGGTATCATTTGGATTCTATACTGCAGCGGGAATCTGATTGAAATGCAGAGAATGAAAATGTGAGTCGCGTGGAGCCAATGTGAAAGCGCAGAGAGGCGCCAAATATCAAGGAAGTCGTCGTCAGGGACATTATCTGAGCTTTAGATGGTGCGAGTTTAAAGGATGTTTCTTTGGTGTGCGAGGTGTGGGATATAGCACGGGGTGTATAAGTATGATATGTACTGTCGTCAATTACCATCCATTATCGTCGTTGTCGGACTCGGCGCCAGCGTATTTTGGCATACGTTTTAATTGCTCGAGCAACAAATCTAGCTCGGTCCAGTTATCATCATTTTCAGCAAATTTGCGGTGTTTCCGAGACAAGATGTGCTAATCGATGAGTCAGTAAACGGGCAGCAAAAGAACATAGAGCACAAACCAACCTCATCAAAATCTGGGAACTTATCCTGACAATTCTCACAATAGCCAGGTTTCAAATCTCGCTTGCTTTTAAGAGATTGCGAGTTTGACTTTTTCTCCCTGCACTCTGTCCTTTGCGATTCATCATCGTGAGGCTGAACTGCCTTGGATGTTTGTCGACTCATGGTTGTTGACCGACTAGATGCAACGTCCATCGAAACCTCCGCAAAACGGCGAGAACTAACATCATGAGAAGCCGGGTTGGCTTTCTGGAGCACCTTTCTCTGAAGGCCATGAACCTCTTTACTAGTTCCAGCTTTGCTACCATTTATGCCAGATGTGGATGAAATCATCTGAGAGCGAATGGCTGACGTAACATTGGATGGCTGCATTCCTGAAGCCACCGGCTCGCCTGCAAACAATCTGGTGCCTTCAGCACGACTAGTAAAGGCATTCTGCGACTTTAACTCGGTTTGCTTGGAGAGAACTGCTTTGGCAGGGTTAAAGACATCCATCGCCAGACCCGTTCTTACGCGATTCTGGCCGTCTTCCATCTCTGTCAAGGTTCGCTTTCCAGTAACTGGCTTCGGTATGGGAATCTCTGGTGGCTTCAGAATCGGGACAGGATCCTCTCTCTTAGCAAGCCGAGCATCCTTCTCTCGCTCACGGTTGCGGCGCTGTTCCTTTTCAGGAATTTCAATTTCTTCAACAAACGGGCAGCGTCCATTGCCAACGCTTCGAAATTGGGGCCATTCACCGTCTTGCTTGTTGACAGCCTTTGCGTACTCGCGAACCATAATAGGCTTGTACTTGTCATCCATATCCCACACATAGATGTAGGGGCCCTTGAAGTAAACCAACTCTCGATTCACTGCCGTCGGATCGCGATCTGAAGGGCCGTTGAGACGCTCATTGTGCAATAGCTGAAGCAAATTAGGTTCGTGTGAGCCCTTTGTTACGCCGTATTGACTCCTGACACTGGTGGTTCCGGATGCGTAAGTCGCACCCCTGGTCTCTGATTCTAAGAGAACGGCCAGCATGTTTTGAAACTTGTCCAACGACCAGATCTTCTTGCCCATCTCTCGAGCTTTGTGAAGAACATCATTGTTGCGGGTGCCTTTGGTCCGCCTTGTAGGGTCATCAGCTTGCTGAGATGGGATCTGCGTCTGTCGAAAGTCGAACAGAAGCTTTCGACGACCGGCCGCTGTCTTTCGATCTAACAGAGATGGATTGATAGTTTGTGGCTGCTCTTCTGGCTCCTGCTGTTCTTGTTCCAGAGGTTCCTCATGTTGAGTTCCGGACTTCTCGGGTGGAATCGAACGCGTCGTGACAACGTGGGTGATATCGATGGAAAAGAATGGCTCTTGACGCTACATTATGAAAAAAAAGACGAGTCAGTTTACAAACGGTGGCAGCAATTGGTTATAATGGATCAACATACTGCACCGAGATAGTTGACTCGCTTGGTCAGCTTCGCTCTAATATCATCAGGTATGCTCTCGAAATAAAACACCATCTTTGGGAATTTAGCCCTGTGGTGCTTTTTCCACACCTCCTTCTCCGTATCAACATCCTGTACAGTTCTGCCAGATGCTTGAGTAGTCCTCGTAGTACGATCCTTTGCAACTGGACGCGTGCTGGAGCGTTGTACTACAACTTGGGTACGGGATGCCTTGGGGGGAGAACGAACAGCACGCTGAGTACCATCTTCCAGGACCTGCTTCTTGACAGGAGGGGGCTGACCATATGCTTCCTCGCGTTGGATATTGGCGTAAGACCTCTTTTGCTTTGCATATGCATGTAGGGAAGCAGGTCCTCGTAATGGAGAGTTGGCGACATTGGGGTTACTCGTCAGAGGCACCCGCCTCGAGGACATGGCCGCGATGGGAGCAGGCGTGGGAGATAGAGATATGGCGGCCATAAAACTTCCCAATCAGCATGCTCTGGAAGCCCACGACCAGAGCGTGACCCAGAATATGGGAAATTTGGCTATTGTGGCCCGTAGCTGGAGGCTGTGGTGGTGTGAGGTCACCTTGGCCGGGGAGGGGCTGGGCACGCCTTTTCGAGGTGAGTAAGCTGGTCCGTGTCGAGCACGCGACGTGTAGAGGCAATACACGTCAAGATTTGCGGACTCACAGGCAGGATGTAAGAATGCTAGGAGGACATTGAAGAATCAAGAGCGGCCTTGCAGAAGGAAACAAGGGCCCCTATGACAACGGCAGTTGTTGTTGATGTTGGTGTTGGACGTCGAAGGAACGAGGTCGTGGTGGTTGAAGAAAGAGTTGTGCTCGCTCAGCTGTGGTGTTGATGGAGCCTTCGCGCTTGGCATAACAGCACTATACCTGGTTGGGCGAGGCTGCCAAAAACACGCACGGGCCAACCCGCCTCACCAGCAACGAGCAGTCAACCGGTCGCTATGCAGCGACTCGCCTCAAGTTTTAGCGACTGTTTAGCCGATCGCGGACACTAAACGGGCTGCTCTTCGGGGCCGCCACAGCGGGGTTAGCTGATCACCCCACTAGACTTTCCAGCACATCTCGTCTCCAGCCGTGCATAACGATCAATCCGACCAGTTCGGGGGACCGGGTGCTGCATATTAAGGTATTAAGGGTGCCCTCTCGCAGCCAAACCTGGATTGCTAAGCAATGCGGGCTGCTTGTGCAAGTGGATAATCGGCCTACTGTGCTCCCAGCATAACTACCCAGGTACTACGGAGTACTAACTAGGGCATCTAAACGTGGACAGCACGCGCCACATCCTCACACCACAGACCCTCGATGCGAGGCTAAACCACAGCCTGGTGGTGCTGTGCCGTCCATCCAAACCATCTCTTCATGGCGACCACTTCATTGCCCCAAGGGCGACAACATCATATCAAGCACAGACGGGCCACTGTGGTAGTGTCGACGAGGTTTTTCTTTCTTTCATTTGTCTATTTTACGCTCCTCCTTTCTTGACGACTATGCAATTGTCGCTCCGATTCAATTCCTCCAGAGACTATCCCGCGACCTCGAAATGAAGTTCCCGCTACCATCATTCCGGAGCTCTCTATCTCCGCGCAACGCCTTGTCCACACGGGCTCCACGGCTGGCAAAGACTGACACAATAAACAATTTGTCAATTCGAGCGGCATTTGCAGGAGATCGGCAGATAATCAGATCCTACAGCGCCGCTGCTGTATCTGCTGCTGACCTGAAGTTTGGCCAGCCCGTCTACGAGACCCATCCTCACATTCTCAAAGCCGGTGAACGTATGCTTATCCTATTCTTCTTTCTACGTGAATGAATATCTGTAGCTGTAGCTGATCGTGGTTCCTTTCTTTTTGCGAAATAGTTACGCCTGGTATTACAGCCCAAGAATATGCCGACCGGAGGGCAGCTCTCGCCGACTCCATGTCGGAGGGAGGTGTGGCAGTACTGCACGCTGCCTCCCTTCAATACAAATCTGGCGCCGTTTTCCATCCTTACCGGCAGGAGTCGAACTTTCTCTGGTTAACGGGATGGAACGAGGACGACGCTGTTGCCGTCATTGAAAAGACGGGTCCCGGTTGGGGTGAGTACAGCTTTCGCATGTTCGTCAAGCGTAAAGATCCCAAAGAGGAGCAATGGAACGGCTACCGGAACGGCATCGGAGCTGCGAAAGACGTTTTCAACGCCGACGAAGCCCACTCCATAGATGGTGTAGACAGCCTCTTGCCAGATATACTTCGGTCTGCCAAGCTGGTATATGCCGACGTTCAACCTGTGCGGGACACGAGTAGAAATTCGCTATGGCGATTTTTTTCTAGCAAAGACTCAACGCAGCCCGCAAGGACGCCATTGTATCCCGTCATGAACAAGCTACGCGTCATCAAGAGCGCAGCCGAAGTAGCCAATATGCGCAAGGCAGGTCAGATCTCTGGCCGAGCAATTACCGAGGCCATGAAACATGGCTGGGCGAAAGAAAAGCATCTCCATGCTTTCCTAGACTACCAGTTCATCGTCAACGGCTGCGACGGCCCTGCGTATATTCCCGTCATTGCAGGTGGCGAACGCGCCAATTGCATTCACTACACTGTGAATAACGATACATTCAAAGACGGCGAGTTCATACTTGTCGATGCCGGTGGCGAGTACGGCACCTACATCACGGATATCTCGCGGACGTGGCCTGTGTCGGGCAAATTCAGTGCAGCGCAGCGCGATCTCTACGAAGCCGTCCTCAAGGTCCAGCGCACCAGTGTCTCATTGTGCCGCGAAAGCGCCAGGTTGTCTCTCGAGGATATTCACGGCGTCACTGCACGCGGCCTCGTCGATCAACTCAGGAGCATCGGGTTCAATGTGTCCATGAGCAATATCGACCAGCTGTTCCCCCACCACGTCGGCCACTATATCGGTCTCGACGTCCATGACTGCCCCGGGTACAGCCGGCGAGAGATTCTCAAACGCGGCCACTGTGTCACGATCGAGCCGGGTGTTTACGTGCCGCACGACGACAGATGGCCAAAACACTTCCGTGGCATGGGGATTCGCATCGAGGACAGTATATGCGTTGACGACGATTCGCCATTTATTCTGACGACGGAGGCCGTGAAAGAGGTGGATGATATTGAGGCGTTGAGATGACATGTACAAAACAACAAAACGCATCATCGCAACATGCTTGGACATGTATTACTAGAGGGCTAAAATATGTACGGTTTGACACAAGAGGGTACCCCGCGCACCAATTCTAGTTGTCGTCTTTGATGTGTTTAATCTGTTACTACGTGATGCCTGGAAGCCATGTAGGGTAGCGATATAATTCCATGGGTCAAAAACATGCCATCGTCGCCCACAACATGCGTCTCTTAAGGAATCTTCAACTCGGGTCGGGCCCAGTATATAATTGATATATTTACGAGTGGTGAAGCATGAAGATGTGATTTTGTACAGTCGCTTTCATGGGAGAGTTCTATCCTTTTTTCTCCACAGGACGCCATTAACATATCATTAAGTCCGTTAACCTCATACCGACTTTTCCCGCCTGTCCAAACAAACAAGCAGAAATTCACGTGGTATTAAACAAAAGCCATAAATCAAACGCCTGCATACCAATGCTTGTTCTGTCTGAAGCCAACACAGACAGAAAAAAAAAATCCGACGACCCTTCCTTGTTCCGAATCATTTTTGCGTTCCATATCCGTACCAAGATGCTTTGTGATTCCCTTAAAAAAAATTTAAATCCCCATTCTTTCTTCTTTTTTTTAACCGCTTCTTTGCTAGTTTGAAAAAAACAAAGTTGGGTATTGTGTTTTTAAACGAGTGGATGAGTCCGGTCTGGCAGGTCTAGCAGAAGCCTCTAGGGTCGAATAGGGTCATGCTGTGATTGGGCATCATCATATCGGTTTGCCTGCCCGTGCTGTTTAGAAGTGTCTCGAAAGCTTGCAATCTCCGTGCAAGCTGTTGGTGCTCTTGCATAATAGTCCTGTTCCTGGCCTCGAGTTGGTGAATGTATTCGGTTGCCTTGGTCAAGACGGTGCCCTGAAGCGCGCTTTGGTTAGCTACTTGCTTGAAAATTCGAATGGCCCAAGCATAACCGTCCAGAAGTGCCCGAAAGACACAGAAACATCGCAAAGACCCTGATAGCTGTATCAAGAAAAAAAAAAAAAATCATGCTCACCTTGCTAATTTTGGCGGCGCTTTGTTGACCACCCGCAGAGCCACCCTCTGAGTCTCCGTCACCCCCAGAAGCTTGCAAGGAAGGCACGGCGGCGCGCAACTCGGCAATTTTATCTTTTAGATTTGTTCTGTATTTTCGCTCAACATCATTGTGAGCTATTCGATCCGCAGACCGAGCTTTTGGTGCTCCTGCCATGGTTGCTTTCTTTGAGGAGCCAGCTCTGCTTGTCGTTGGCCGTTTCGTAGTTTGCTTTTTTGACTCTGTCTCGTCCACTATCTCTCCGGTTTTCGCTTTGCTGGTGTCTTTTGATGTACTTTGACTCTCTGTGGGCTTTCCCAGCGGGCTGAGCGGCCGGTTTATGAATTCCTGCGGTGGCCTACATCCCATGCCAGCACCAAACCCTACTCCGAACCCATTTGGTGGGATGAGGGCTCCAGGAATTCTACCAGAGTTCAACGCTTCCTCCAGAAAGCGTCGCTGTTCATCGATATCAGGCTCCGGACCTTGCGGGACAATCCGTCGCATTTGCTTGGATACATCTTTGAATGTCGACTCAAGCCTTGACCCCGGCTGAAATTTGTCTGTGCCCTGCGAGCTGTTGAAAAGCGCTGCGTTGTTGTCGAGAGGCTGTTGTGATGTTGATGTGTTCTCTAGCTGTGTCATCTTCTCCCCTGGCTTGGCTGTGGCTTCGAACATTTCCTCGTCGTCGGAGAGAACCTGTTCGAAGGCGCTATCGTCGAAAAAGTCTTCTTCTCGAAATGGCGCGGTCGAGGTAGAGTACAGTCCGCTGCCAAGGCCAGGTATCGAGTCTGATGCCAACCCGGGCCTAGTCACCGTGGTTTAGTCTTTGCCGGCAGTACGTCTTGAAAAAGATTCTTGTTGGTTGAGCTTACCTGTTTTGACTGAGTAAATCGGGTCGTTTGGAATAATCAATTTCAAAGCTGCCCATCTTGTCCAGGTCGTCATCAAATGATATCCAGTAATCTATTGAATCTAAAGCGGGGGTATCGGATTCGACCTTCATCCTCTTCTTGTCGTGAAAGTCCCGACCTTGAAGAAGTGCGTCGGACTGGGGGCTTGCCATTGAGTTCTTCCCCGTCGGGTATGGTGATCCGTGAGGCGGTTGTGTAAAGGACAGGTCGGCGAACGCAGCAATCGCCGGGTCGAACGATGGTATCGACACATCAGGAGGGGCGGATGTGAAGTCAAATGTACTCATTCCAGCAGAGGCGGCCGACGTTCCCCAGCTTGATGTATCTTGTGCAGGCTGGGAGGTTTGCCGGGAAGACGAGAGGTCTTGTTCCATGCTGCTTACCGATTGCTCTCTAATGGCATTGTCGTGCATCATTATGGTGAGGCGCGATATCGTTATAAAATGATGTATGAAGCAAAGCCTTGATGGGAGAAAGCGGGTTGCGAAAAGTGATGCTATGTCAAATTGGTGGTCCTGTTGATTGCGATGGTATGGTTGTTGCGCTTCATGAGAGACCAAAACAGAATTATCAGACACGTCGAAGCTGTCGTCTGAAGAAACTTGTACTCGGGCCCAGCAAATTCTTACGGTATGGTCGGCCGGAGGAGTGTCGGTTTCGTGGCGTTGATAGTAAACAACTTGGCTTGGCTCAATGTTGTCTTAACCCACCGACTTACAAGCTTGGGTCAAGCTACCCTCGGCAGTCGGTCCCTCTGTTTAAATCAGAGCTGGCCAAAAAAAGGGGGGAAAAGGCCAAATCAAGTTCCTAGTGTTGATTTCTCGACACCGAGGGGGGAAAAAGGCATGACTTTTGGCCGCAGCAGGGTCAGCTGGTCAGATGGTATCGAAGAGAAGTCGGGCTGTCCTCACAGTTGCTCAGCAGCAGCAAAACACGGAGCAGAGTTCGCCAAGTGCAGCCACAGCCGGCCAAGTCCGCCGCCAATGAATGGTTCCGCTCTGGGTGTATGGAGTAATACCGAGTTGGCGAGTTGGCGAGTCTGATGTCTGATGCCAGAGGGTGCCAGAGGGCAGGCCAAAGGCGAGAGAGGCCGAGCTCGTCACCTGATGGGAATGAGGAATAGCAATGGCAACGGGCTCCCGCTGACGCATTGAGAAACAAGATGCATTGATTAGCCGGTGCAAAGCTAATAACGAGAGGCTCCGCACCAAACATCAAGCATCCCAACTGCACAGCGTTCATATGCACAGCATTGTCCATGTCTGGACAAGTTTCCTCGCCCCCGGCACAAATTTCCGGGCAAAGCAGCTTGGTGGTCGGCGACTCCCGGCTTGGACTTCCCAGTCGACAAAATACCTGCATACACATGGGCTGGTTTTCATGGCATTTTTCTCTTCCGCTCGCTGCTCTCCGTGGCCCAAATGGCGTGATATGAGCTTGCTCCACGATTCTTAGTTGCCGCACACCCAACGCAGCCCATGCATTTAAGTGGGAGATCGTATGATTAGGCAAGCCGCTGCATCAATTCGCCGCCAGGGTGGGCCCTTGTACTCCGTACCACTGGAAGACGTCAGTTGTTCATGTTTGGCCCGAGGTTTCATCTCTAGTGCGCACTCACTCAGCCTTGTCCAGAAGGTTCAGCCAGCAGGTCCAGCCAGGTCCAGAAGGTCCAGAAGTTTCAGTTGCCCCGGAGTTCTCTCGGGCATGCATTAATTGATCTATTAACAGGCCATCTTTGCTTGCAACTTGCGTCCATGGGGCCTGTCACATCCTCAAATAGTACTCCCGACATGCGTCCTTCCCATTACAGCAGAGTTGTATCATATTTCGTCCTGTACTCCGTACCCCGTACCTTGTATAATGATGCCGGCGGTCTGTGCGAGAACTCATCCCGCAAACTCCATCGCCGGCACCTTAACCGCGCGCGTGGGAAGACCCAACCTGTGGGCTCCGGGCCGTGGGATATCACATTACGTACCTCTCTCCATGTGGCTTGACGAGGGATCTGTTCAAGCGGGCCTTCAAGAACAACTCATGTTTCCAACAAACGGACAGGGGCTCGCCACCCAAGATCATCTTGATCTTACGGATTTGCCATCGGGGATAATGAATGAGCAGGTATCGAATAGTAATAATCCTCTAATAGTACGTGTTATAGCCAGGGCCGCTTATCTGAAGCACAGCAAGATCGACGAGAACGTGGCGAGTCCGCACCCTTCTAACGTTCTGGGTGTCACACCCCCCCAAATAACATAAGCTATTGGCATTCATACGTATTAAGCAAATCGACGGGCGAGCTACACTCCATTCCCATCCGCGATGCCACCAAAACATGGTTTGCCATACTCATTAAGTTCCAACTCCCGCTTTCAAAGTGATCCAGGCGTATCGTAAATGAGAAGGAAAAACAAAAAGATAAACCAATCTCTGACTTGCCGAGGACGCTACATAATGAACGGGGAAGAATACCGTGTAATCCCGTTTCTGATATGCTCCTGAATGCCTTACTTGGCTGTATGGGGCTTCGGAAGTGTTTGCCGGCGCTGGCAGTCACCACATATCTCGGGCTCATCGATGATATCATGCTTTGCAGAGGTTCCCTTGCAACCGTTGAACAGTCGCTCACACCGTTTGATTTGATAGTATCCGACGTGCCCGCATGCCCATCTTTTGTCCACCTGCGTGCACATTTCCCCTTAATATGAGGCCCCGGCCTGCAGCACAAATTGCTGATGCTGGCGACGGTTTGGACGGTGTGTATTAGCGTCGTCGGCTCATCCAGGCAGTGTCTGTCGCTTGCCCACCTCCACCAATTAATCCAAGTTGACCCAATCGTCGGTGTGTTCTAAAAACGGTGAGTTCTGTGCCAATGAAATCGCCTCATCATGAGGAATCGGGACTCCAAACAACGTCAATGTATTTAAAAGAGGTTTCCTAGAGCCCTAACAAGTACCGAGGGTTTCAACCATGCCTCAACGACCGCTGTCTAATAACAGACGGTATCATGAGTTCGGAAATTAAATATCGCGCCGATGTCAGTATTGTGAAAACCGCCGGGCATATGAGCGTGCAGAGTTGGTCGATACTGCGCTGCAGAAACCGACTTGAACGGCAGCCGCGGGACAGATAGCGCAACGGCGAGCGAGGCCGTGAAGATGGTCCTCGGGAGTTGTAGATTTTCTGTTGCCGGACTTGAATTTTTCCACTGCCAGTTTTAGGTACGCTTCTGTGCTTCCGCGTTCCCACCCTTAATCAGGGTGGTGCGGGTCCTCGAGATCTGTCATATCGACAGCGTAGGTTAGTAAGCTAAACTGAAGCAGGCATTCGTCTCGACGAAGCAGAAATATGAGACATCAAAAATCGCTTTTCCAGCGGCACTCCGTATGTTGAAGGACTGTCTGGCTTTGTTGCGTGCATCGTGCATGTAAATTGTCACCCTTCCATTGAAATATAGTCACCGGAAGCTGGACGCGCATATCCGAATAAATCGCCCTATCAACAACTGGCAATCACCACGGTCATTTGAGCTGTACCATATGTAGTTGCAGTGGAGCCATGCCGATCTTCTCGGTCCACTGGGGCGTCAAGCAGACTTCTTGCTGTAGGTATGTTCTCCGCACCAACAAGCCTGCGGATTCCCTTGTGCCAATGGAATCCAGGAACAGTGCCGGATCAGCTGAACAGGAAAAAAAAAAGATCATGCCGACTAGTAGAGCATCAGACCTCGAATCTTTATTCCGCAATCAGGCCTATTAAGCCTGTATGCAACACTGACGACCCCTCTTCCCACATACTTGACCGCAGCGTGTGGCTTCAACAGATTCAGTGCGTCGACGCATAGATGGCCCGCTGGCAGGAGCTGCATTCAACCCACATCCTGCCGTGTAAGCCGACTTGGGCGACTTGTGCGATGGTTTTATGGACATCAATATCTTACCCGCAGGTGCGGTGAGCTTAATCGTGGGACTGCTCACAAGGGTGGTGGCTTTTCGTTTTGCTGCCGGAAGAAAGGTGCATCCTAATGAGCCGACTGTAGTACCTTCATGGATTCCCTTCATCGGCCATCTAGTTGGCATGGCTATATATGGCGGTCGATATATCAAAAAATTGGGGTAAGTTACCTTGCCCATGTCTCGTGTTGTGCTCTCTATAAAGATCGACCCAGCTAACGCAGCCTGTCGTATCCGAATGAGTCAATCTTTACTCTCCCGGTACTCTAGTCTTTTACCCCACTTGTCCCAGATATTGCCAAACGAGTGCTCGGTTTGGACGATGAGACGGTGGCAAGATCAGAAGGAACCTCGATCCAGAGCCCCCCGGGGACCCCCGTGGATTTTTGGCTGATGTCCGCGATGTCGTTTACAGCGCCCTGGGTCCTGGATGGTATCTGAACTCTCTGAGCTTCGAAGCAAGTCAGGAATTGTGTTTCCAGATTACTGAGTTTGCCGCATCTTTCGACAAGTTAGGCAAGATAGAACGAGAGTTGGATCTCTTGCAATGGGCTCGCCATTTGGTGACCGTGGGATCGGCGAGATATCTTTATGGCCCGCGAAACCCCATAGCTGAAAACCCGGGACTGGAGACCGCTTTTTGGGCCTTTGATCAAGGCCTCGGCGGTCTATTGATGGGCGTATTCCCTTCCCTGACGGCTTCGGGAGCCTATCAGGGTAGAGAACGGATGGTTGCCGCGTTCATAAAATATTTTGAAGCTGGTCATATAAAGGACGCAGCTGAGATCTCGAGAGATCGCGTGCGACTCGAAAAACAATATGGCATGAATAAACAAATGATTGCACGTTCTGCGCTTTCATTTATCTTCGCTAGCATCGTTAACACCACAACCACGACTTTCTGGGTGGTTCTTCGCCTTTTTGCGAACAAAACGTTGCTCAGCATTGCTCGACGGGAAGCGGTAGAAGCGCTGAAAGCGAGCACAGAACGAGAGGGTCCCAAGAAGTTGAGTATCGGAATATTGGAAAATAGGTGCCCAACTTTAATTGCTGTGTTTCAAGAGAGCTTGCGCATTGGATCTGAAAACTTTTCTGTTCGACTGACCAAGGAGAATGTTCTCCTTGCCGATTGATACTTTCTATAAAAAGATGCTGTGGTCCAAATCGCTGGAGGAATCAACCATGCCGACAAGTCTGTCTGGGGAGACGATGCGGATGATTTCAATCCGCAGCGTTTTCTCACCCCCAAGGCCCAGTCTGGTGGTATTCACCCAGCAGCCTTTCGAGGATTTGGTGGCGGCAAGACTCTTTGTCCTGGGAGGCATTTTGCTACAAACGAGATCCTATTGTTTGCTGCGCTTATTGTCCATGGGTTGGACATGTCCTCGCCTGATGGTGTGATATTCCGGTCCCAAGGAAAAACGATCGAGTGATGCCTGCTCACATTCTAGAACCTGATCCCAGGGACCGCCCAAAAGTATTGTTCCGATTAAGAGATGGAATGAAATCACTGCGAGACTTGACCATAGTCATCTGAAACCCGGGGGGGTAAAGACAAACGCAGGGTTGGAGCGATCAAGGCCATGCCTTTTGAGCCTAACAATAATACATAATCCTGGAATTCGACGCTCAATTTCATGTGAACTCATGCGAAAAATAGGAAGGTGCGCGTACGAAATTCTATGCCAACTGGCAACTGCTCATCCTTGCACCTTCCCTCCCCAGTGTCTGCACAATTGGCACCTTTTCAAAGCTCGCACATTGCATCTACTGATTCGCATTAAAATATTTCTCTGATTACATCCAAAGTTTCTGGGTAGCTCTATCTCGGACGAGTGCTATTTCAACGGAGCAGATGATTAGCCATATCATCATCACTTATTGACATCGATGAGCCGTTCAGGATGCCGAAGCCAAGAGGTTTCATTATGTGCAATAGCGCAATTCTAGGAATTGTGATACTTTCGCTTCCTAGCGTGACATCGGCCTTGGGATGGCGCAGCCCGCAACAGAAATATGGTAAGCAAGCAGTATCTATGTTGTTAAACATGATTTATCGGTACTAATGCTAGACACAAGTCGACAAGCCTCTCGAGGAAGCATCGAGGTCTCCTCCTCCCTCACTTTATGCAAGCGGTGCAAATCCTAGTGTCTATGCAGCGGCACTGAATGAGTTGCAAGAATTGGAGTCGGAACCCTTCTGTCACAGAATTGCAGCCCGACTGTTGGTGAATAATTGCCAACTGCTAGATGGCCGGAATGATGCAACGGTGATGACCAACACTGGTAGAGCGGCAAGAGACTTTGTAGATTTCTTTGCTGCCAGTTTAGCAATTTGTGACTTGGAGAGAGCCAATTTTGCGATCCCGCCAACGTGCCATAAATTTCGGGAGCCTGTGTTGGCAAATCTCCCAGCACCTTCCAAACCAGAGCTTCACGTAATAACTAGCGAGATCGATGACTGCCTCGAAGGCTTGGCGCGATCGGACTCGGCTTGGAGCACATGGGTGAGCTATCGCCACAAAGCACTCGGATTTTGTGAAGCCGCTCAAGCAGACGGCGAGAAAGGTATTTGCTCAAGTCTTCTACCAAAGAGAAACCCGGCTAACTGCCCAGATCATCATATTTTTCTTCATCGAAAACTTGCAAATATTCTCGAGAGACTTACAACTGAGGCCGAAGTCCAAGTACAGAATCGACTAAACAAACTCGATCGAATGTTCCGAGAGTCCAGTGATAACGCGGAGACCTTGACAGCCCACGTGGCGGGACTTAACGAGAGCTTGCTGTACTTTGAACAAGTCATTACCCATTCCATTTTATCCAAATCCAAAGTATCTTAAATCAAAGTCTCTATTCATGGTTAAAAAGTTAACATTTGTCCAGGAAACCGAAGTGGTGGTCCAGAAAGGCTTGAACGAGGCAAGATCTCTTCGGCAATTTATGGAAGAAGTATTCGGCATGATGCGCTTGAGAGAAGAGAAGCATGCCCGCACATTTGAGACTGCACTGGAAGTGGCTGTAACGCAGATCAACCGAGATGCTCATGAGGTCACGAAGATGTTGACGGCCGTCGCAATGTCATCACGCAGCTTGCAAGCACAACTAGTGAGTGCGACGATTCTGGCTGAGAGAACATTCTAATTTGTTATAGGAAAAATCTGAAAGCCAGCTATCTCTTGTAATGCGTAAGCAGGAGCGTGTTCAAGAGGTATGGACCATATATTTGTCCGTGTTGCACTTGTCTAATTCCAGCAGGGGATGGAGGAATTGAGTCTTCTTGCAGACCTGGTGGCCGATAAACATCACGCTCACCAAGAAATGCTCCAGTCGGCAAAGAATGAAACCGCTCACCTACTGGCATCACTCGAGGCAGCCTCATTTTCCATGGGTAATCTGAGGGCGTCATTCTCGGACCTCGGCTCGGTTGGCTGGTGGCCGTACATAATTTGCCCAGCTGCATCGCTAGTCCTCGGATCTTACAGGCTTCAACCGTCGATCACTCGAAATATCTTACTCTTGGGCGTTGGTGAGTTGGAAACACCAAGCTGCTCACGCGCACAGCCCTGGCTAACAACCCAGCAGGTGAAATTGCCGGATTCTTGATGACATTTGCAAACATGCACGGGAGCGAGCTTTCGGAATACTTGTTTTCCTCTGGGCTGTTTATATCGAGAAATGATCTTTTTAACGAAACTATAAATGGTGATGGTTCGTCACCTTTTTGATAAATGCTGTGGGCGCAATGACATTGGGATTTGAGCAGGGTTTATCAGCAAATGGGTCCAATACTCTACACAGTCATCTACCTGGGCAGGCCGTAGCCGGATTCTAACGATAACTGGGACTGGGTTGGCTTTGATGTTTTACTTAGGCGTACCTTGATAGGGGCGATGTGACCCTAGTTTTGGGTGGATGGAGGCAAAGATGAAGCGAAGGACATTGCGCATGGCATCGCATTCGAGACGGCATTATGCATACGGACTGTGCCCTCAAATCTTATAATGGAATAGATATCCCGGGATGCTTTGTTTTTTCTAATATCTCACCAGTGGAGAAAGCCACTAAGCTCGTTCGTGTGACCGGCGCCCGAGGAACCCAGCCCGACAAACCAAAGCGGACATGACAAACCATGACGTGGATAAGCTCTGGTCTTTCATCAAAATAGGACCAAAAGCTGCCAGAGAACAAAAATACACTGGTAAATTATCATGGCCACGAAGATAAAAGTAGCCGCTATACAACTCTATTCTGAGGTATGCAGCCCCCAAGACATGTGCCGTGACTTGTCACCAGCACCGACAATAACACTCGCTCATCTCAACAATCTCGCCATCCTCTCATGCACAAATCCTAGAATCCTACAAACTCACCAACGTATCGAACTTTAGCCCCTGGCGCCCGCAAACAACTTTGCCCGCGCAGAGGCCTACATACGCAATGCCGCTTCCCAGGGCGCCAACATGGCCGTCCTCCCAGAGTACCACCTCGCCAGCTGGGTCCCCGACGCCGTCGAGTTCACCTCGATAGCAGCGCAGTCCGCGCCATACCTGGAGAAATACCGCGCGCTCGCCAAGGAACTCAACGTGGCCATTGTTCCGGGAACCCTCCTGGAACCCGAAACGTCTTCCGGCAGCGGCCTTGCCAACGTCGCCTACTTCATTGGAACGGATGGTGCCATCCTGGGCCGCTATCAGAAGAAGAATCTCTGGCACCCTGAGCGGCCGCACCTCGCGGCGGACATAGAGACCCCGCACACGGCATTCGATACGCCGTGGGGTAGGATGGGGATGCTGATCTGCTGGGACATCGCGTTCCCCGAAGCGTACAAGGCGCTCGTCGCGGATGGCGCGAGGGTGATAATCAGTCCGTCGTTCTGGTTGGCCGACGATGGCGGCGAGGGCTCGGATCTGAATCCGAATTGCGAAAAGATGTTTTTGGACAATGTCTGTATTACGAGGGCGTTTGAGAATACTGCCGCGATAGTGTACGTCAATAGCGGTGCGCCAAAGGGTAGTACGGATGGCAAGGATGGCAGGGGGAATACGTTCTGCGGTGTGAGCCAGGTTGCCGTCCCGATTGTCGGGAGACTTGGAGGCGGGGAGTCGATGGGGCCGGCAGAGGAGATGAGGATTTTCGAGGTTGACATGGGATTGTTAGACATGGCAGAGGGTGTGTACAAGGTTAGGGGGGACATGGCGAGGGAGGGATGGCATTACGGGCCGTATCGTTCAGCATGAAGGGGGGTGGTAGGGGGGTGAAGATGATGTCCATTACGTCTATGGGGTAAGAAATGTTATGGCAGGGAAAGAAGCAGTATGAGAGCGTGTTGAAAATAACAGGGCATCTAACATTAGTGGCTTCTACAGTGACAAACGCGTATCCTGCTCCGACAAGACTGTATCGTGTACAGAGTCTACAAACCATATCAATGTCTGGTTTGCGCCAGACAAACTCTCCAGTCATCAAACAAGACTTGTAAGCCTACAGCATATAGACACGGATCAATCCCTGTCCATAACGGCTTGCGCCCGCAGAAATCGCCGTCTCAAATCGACCGCTTCCTGAGTGTGCTTGTGCACGATCCGATCAAGCTCCTTCTTTGCCTTGTTCAGCTCTCTCGTGCTCGCAGAAGACTTGCGAGCCTCGATGGCGTCGGCGTACCGCAAGCTCTTGTCATCGCGGTCGGTCCAGATTCCCTCATAATTTGAGGGCACACCTTCTTCATTCTGCAACTTTTCCAGCAGTGAGATCATCGGCCAGCCTGGCGTCATTGTGGTGCGCATGAGCGATTCGATGACAATGGCGCGGGGGTAGCCGAGAGCCTCATAGAATTCAGTACATTCGCGGATGTCCTGGCTGTTTCCTTCTTCGTCTAGTTCTACTCGAATGGGCGCTGACGGTCGCCTAGCTCTTGCTTCGGCCTGCTGAGTAGACAACAGCCCTGGAGCTGGCTGAAAGGATGCAGGTAGTGATCGTTTGGTCGCTCGGTTTGTTGCCTTCCGCTTTAGAGTTGAAGCCTCCGGTTCCTGGGCAGGCTCCGAGCTTTCAGCTTGCTTCTCTTTTGGGTCATCACGGCCCTTCCTCAAATTCAGTGGAATTGGAGTTACATCTAAAGCCTCGGAGTGTAGTTGCTGTGAAGGTGTCACGTCGAACGTACTTTGCTGGGCTTCCAGCCGTGGAACCCGTCCGAATTGCGTCTCAGTCACAACCTCATCTCTATCATCAGTTTCGTTGTCGTCATCGCCATCGACAGCGCGAGACGGCACCCCTGAAGTAGAAGTCTTCATAGAGCTAGAGGAAGCTTGTCGTAATTGCTTGGCTTTCATAACACTAGGCGACTGCATCGTCAGTACACCTACTATCTCCTCCGGCGTTGACGGTATTTCTGCATTGCGACTCAATCGCCTACGCTTTGACGACTTCTCCACTGTTGACGGGGTGTGATCATCCATGGACCTCTTTCGGTTGCTGCTTTGACGAGGAGGTGAGGAAGGAACATTGTTTTCGGGAGAAAGTGGTCCGGAACGTTGCGCATCTTCCAATTCTCCATAGTAGTTGAGAGAGAAGCTAGACACTTCTTCAAAGAACTCTGCAAGATTATCCTCGTAGTATCGCCGCAGTTCTGATGTTACGTCCTTGTTTTCCACCAAGTTGTAATTCAGGTCTTCGGCGACTTTCATCCAATCCACTTCTTCTAGTGGCACCTTTTGCACAGCGACAGCTTGGCTCAAATCCCATAAATCGACGGTCTTACCGCCAATACAGGGATCTGGATCAAGATCAGCCTCAGTCTCCTCAGCAAAGGTGAGCAAATCAGCGTAGAATCTGGCTCGCATGGCGTCTTGGGTACCAACTTCGCCTTTCTCAGATTTCTGCTCGCTCGTCGCTATAGATGCGGTAGTGATTTGGACATTATTGGGATTTGTAAAAGGCGACGCAGACGCCGGCCGGTGAGGGGTGCGGGCTGCTTGCTTCTTCCGTGTCTTTCCGGGGGCCTGTACTGCTGCATTTGGTAGTTGCTCCTCTTGTTGTCTTGAGTATGCTTGGCTAGAAGCTGACCGACTAACAGGGTTCGTGGTTTGGAGAGCCAAGTCTGCAGCGGACATTGCCAGCTTCTCAAGGTCTGCGATTGGGAGGTTTGCTAAAGACTTGACGAATCTGTTCCGCCATGACTGCCACGTATGCCAAGAATGCTTCGTCTCGTTAACCTTGCCGCTGTTAGTCAGTAAGACGAGACTAGGACCTTACCGTCTCGGCAAATTCTTGGAAGATCTTATTGCCAGTGCGACCTTCCGTGTGAGCCAACACCCAGTTTGCCAGTGCGGCATCGTCAGCGGCGGAGAAAGGGGTTCGTGTACGCTTCACAGGCGTGCTGACACCAACACGAACACTGGCCGCCTCTGGGTGGCCAAAAATGCGGTACCGATCTGTCAGTTGCGCGTACCCATGCTGGACAGATTCTGTGATGTACTTCCACGAATATGAGTCCGGATGAGCATCCTTCCTCGCGTGGTCCGCGATTAGGATATGCGCATCTTTTTCCAAGGGCACAACTTTGCCGCCGTTATTCTACGCGCTGATTAGCTGGGGAGCTGTTCGCCCTCTAATACATTGCAATACTCATTCTCGTGCTTGCCTTGATGTGGTTGAGAATATCGTTCCTCATCGGCACTCTCTGAGCAACCCAGAAGACCATGTCCTTGAAAATAGTCCCTCCTGTGGCGCTTTCAACGCCGTCATACGTGACCCCTCGAGACATCTTGGGGATTATACTTGCCGCGGCGGGATGTCGTGCAGTGAAATACGCGAATGCTATGCAGTCGTGTCGTAAAGTGGTGAGCTGCGTCCAAGGTGCTGTAGGCGATGATCCAATATGTCAAGGACAAACAATCGCTACCACATCAACGGTACAAGAGGCGCTCTTGCTTCATCATGCAGGCGCAAGTTGCAAGAAATGACTTCTTTTTATTCCATCTTCACCCCCGACTTAGAGTCTCGTGATGAAGACGACTGCGGACAAGACCTGGACGCGTGATGAGGGTCGCGCGATCACGTGGGTCACGTTTGCTCTTTGCGCGGATGCTAAAGTGGCTGTGCCGTGGCTCAGGTCAGTTGGCGGTCGCTGAGCCTGTTGGACCTTGCATGTGCTCAGCCACAAGTACCTAGGTACCCAGGGTGTTACCAGGTCAGAAGTTAATATCGTCGAACTCATGCAAAGAGCAACTGCGCTCTGCCAGTCGTTTCGCCCATGAGACCTTGCCTTGGACATTGCCATGATTCGCGACGAGATGCGATGACAGTAGTACTACAGCCTGGGTACCCGTCCTCTTCCATCATTCACCCGATACTCTCTCGCGACTGTCTGCCGTCAATAGCTGGTGATCTTGCCCACGAGCCTCGGCCCATCATGGTCTCTCTAAAATGGGTCGTGACATTCGTTTTGGCCTTGAGCTTCGCAGTCTTCGTCACCTTCTTTGGAAGATTACCTGTGTTCCGGTGCGTAGCTCGATGCTGACCTTTGCACATTTATGAGACTCTGTCATGCTGATTGTTTGCTGATTCAGACGAACGCCCATTGGCCTCTTACACCGTCTGATATGGATTCATATCCCCAATCTATTGCTGTCTGTAGACAATAGACTTACCTCGGGGAGGATCACAAGGTCCCTATCCAGATTTGGACACTTTATCATGCACGAACGGCATCCGGCCGTAGTTGTACGCATCAACCACCATCATCATCTTATGCACCATTCATCTACCGCGACAACAACAAACACTAACCAACCGGCTTTAGATATTCTTCCTCGCTCTCATGATAGGCGGAGAATACCTCTATCTCCCATCCATATGGCACCGTTTAGCCCCCCTCACCAAACTCACAGTCGTCATCACCGTCTTGCTTCCCTACCTGTTCCTCTATCTGTCTTGCGCCGCTGACCCCGGCTACATCACCAAAGAAAACCACGCCTACCACATGTCGCTCTATCCATATGACCACGCGCTTTTCCACCCTGGCGTGGAATGCAAAACCTGTGGATTCCTCAAACCACCACGCTCAAAGCACTGCAGCCTTTGCAAGCGGTGCATAGCAAAGGCCGACCATCACTGTATATTCATCAACTCATGCGTGGGATACGGAAACCAACACTGGTTCATACTACTCCTCCTCTCAACCGCTATTTTGTGCACATACGGTGGGCTTCTCGGCGGTTCGCTGCTCTCCTCGTCAATTAAACAACACTTTGTCGACTGGTCGCCTTGGTCGCCATTACAACAGGGATGGGGCATGTACGTTGTCATCTGGGGCTGGGGCATTCAGACAAATATCGGCCTGGGCATCACAACTCTCCTGTCTGGTTTGACGGCCCCCTTAGTTTGGGGTCTTTTGATATATACAATGTACCTCGTGTACTGCGGCACAACAACAAACGAATCATTCAAGTGGTCCGTGTATCGGGATGATATGGAAGACGGCTATGCTTTTCGTCGACCCATGCCCTCAAAGCGAGAGAGGGATCTCGTCAAAGAGCCTATTTGCCGTAGGTGGCCGGTTGAACCGGAGATGGTTCTAGCAGCGACGGACGACGGGAAACCTCCGCCAGCGCAGATGGCGCTAGCCGGTGAGGGCGAGTGGGAGCGGGTGTGGAATTTGAAAGACGTGGAAAACCTTTACGATTTAGGACTCTGGGATAATTTGGGAGATATTTTTGTGGCAAACTATGCATTTGGGGCGAGAGTAGAAGACCCTCCTGCCGAACGGGGCCTGCGGAGGAAACGTAACAAGAGTAAATAGCGTGTCTCAGATACTGGGAGCGAGGCGGAAGAATATTGGATTTAAACATGCATCTCAGTCACATCATATAGATTGCGTCTGTGGGATCCAGCGCAACTTGGGCGGGAGGGGCCTAACGATGTGCTTCGATCAATAAAATCACAGAAGTATTTTTTAATATATTTTAAAGTATTTCTCATCAACATCGCTCGTGATCATCGTAATCCACACGCTTCTAGGTCTTGATTAGACCCTTCAAGACAAGAACCAGTAGCTACCAGCCACCCATTCCATCCGCCACCATGGCAGAGACGCCTAACCCCGTTGTCCCATACCCGCTTCTAGAGCGTTTCGTTGTTATGTATGTCTATTTTGCCGTTACCATTTTGAAGCGCTTTACAGAATGGTGCCAAATCTGTTCATGGTCTGTTAGCGCAAGCAATTGACTTCATGTTTACTTTCGCTGATTTGCTTACCCAAAGGTCTGTTTAATGCTCTTGACGTAGTACTCCAGCCAGTTTCTCTTGGTAACTTCTTCCTGGCCAACTGGTACGCCCTTCCACTCCACACGCATCACCGTAACGTGATCAATGTTGTTTTGTTCAAACTCGATGTGGAGCTTAGAGAAGTGGCCTGCAGGCCACTGGCTCAGACGCCAACTCTGGACAATCTTTTTTCCAGGTTCAAGCTCGAGATATTCCCCAGAGACGTTTCCACCAAACAATTCAAATTTTCCGCCCTTGTTGGCACCCTCAAAAACCTTCGGGGGTGAGCGGGTGAAGGCGGCAAGGCGCTGAGGATCGACAAATGTTTGGTACATCTCGTCGGCTGTGGTTCGAAACTCCTCCTTGTCCGTCACTGTTGTCGTGTTGACAATACCAGAGGTGCTTGTGGGAGCACTGGGAGGTTCTGTGGGCTTGGGTGAAGAAGTCTGAGGATGAATCTTCGGGGTCGAAAATCCGCTGGAAGGATTCGAACCGGGGGCATGCTGAATATCCTTGCCGTGTTCTTCGATAAGGACAGACGTGACCAAATTGATCTTCTTTTCCAGCTCTTTAACAAGCTGGCTGCGGACAAGTTCCCTCACAGGTTGGTTCTCCTTTGAAGCAGGATCCTCGAGTTTTACCTCGAACTAGAAGACGAATGAGTGACCTGCACGCCAAACGACTTTGGCTTTTGGAAAGCATCACAAAGACGCAGACAGATACATACCGTATAGTCTTCAATATCCGGTTGGACCTCAGGGAATTTGATTGTGCCGGAAACCTCATCCGCATCGGGGGCGGATCCTACGATGAGAGTAAGCCTAGGCTCTACTGTTGTTACATACTACACATTCACGTATCCTTACCAGTGAATCTTAGGGCGAGCTCCAGGTCAAAGACTGTCTTGACCTTGCCCTTTCTCTGGTAGACTTCAGCTTCGCCCTCTATGCTCTCAACCTCGACAATCTTGACTTCTACGTCGCCGTTTTTGGCACTAATTTCGTTTAGATTGTCCTCGAGCCATTTCTTTGTCCAGGCAGTGACATCCTTAGTCACCCAGTGCCAGTTATTAGGGTTATGGAGGACCATCGTGGCGATTCGTTTTCGAAAATTAAGAGCTAAAAGGAGAGTACCCTGGCGACGTTAGCATATACATTCCAAGAGTACCAAAGCGCTAGAACGAACAACAGCAACGAAAATGCTTCCACAGTCTGGTAAATCAGAAATGGTCTTGGACCACAGCAAGATTGGTCATCAATGAAGGGAGTACAAGTCACTCTATGACTGGTGCCAGCTGGTGTCTCATCACGAGAAACTGCGGAAGGGGGATTATGATGCGTTGACATTGGGAAATGGCGGTACTTACGTTGTGATGAATGGACTGGCCAACAGCAGCGACGGCAATCAAACAATGTGTAGGTAGGTACACAGCGAGAGAGAGAGAGAGGTAGTCGCCGGTGCCGAGAGATGAAAAGGTCAAGCCAGAGGTCGAGAAAGCTCAGAACCTCGTAGAATTTTCTCCGAGCCTCGTGTCCCCACCATATTGCACTATCCAATAAAAGCGAAAAAAGGGTCCGCTTCTTTCGGTCTTGGATCCGCTTCTCCCAGCCTGGTCAACTGGTGAAAGTGCTCTCTTTGAACTTAGTCTTTTGAGGTCAATTGAAAATGAACGACTGGTATATTATGACCATTCACCTGTTCAATTTTCTTTTAGACACGACTTGCGGGCACACACGCTTGTGCCCAACCAACATTGGAAGGGAGGGGAACATCGGGACCATTGCTAGCCACCGTGCAATAAGCTACCTCGGTAGGCTTCGCCAGGTTTCTCGATGGCTTCCATGTCAAGCAGGCTGCGATATTTCAGCGGCGCTGTATCGGCTGGTTGAGCAGATTGGTCTTTTTGAAACTTTTTCCATCTCAAGGTATCTGGGTAAGGACGCAGAAATATGACACAACGGCGAGATGCCAAACCGAGGCGGATGGGGATTCAAACAATTGCTGGCACAGGAAGTCCTATGCCTGCAGTGAGGGGTTCATTATTATTCGGCCTTAGGGGTCATTCAACGCCGCCGGGTGGTCGAATACTTATGATGCAGACTTGACTCGATGGACTCAAGGCCTTGTCTACTCGGTAACGTTAAAAGGCTATTCTGGTGGAGAAACTCGGCACAATGGACGCAGACCTCTCGCAGAAGCATACCACGACCCCAACATCAATGTTACCAAGACCAAGTTCCACGTTCCACCGAGGGCAATGGACCGACGGCGGCACTCGCTATAGAAGTTCTTCTTCGGGCTGGTAGCTTAAGACGCTACTAAGCGCCGACGCCCAACCTCTTCATCTGCACCGACAGGGGATGTGGCCAATCATGAGGCCATATTTGCGTCTGATCCCTCCCTCCACGACAGGAATGACCAGCAACACTGGTCAGTTAACACTGGCGGACTGAAGAGGAACAGCAAGTCTTGATGCAAACCACCCACCAAGAGTCCCAATAAACCATTGTATCCAGAAGTCTCTTCAAGTGTTGGCGTCGCTCCGCAATTCGGCCAAAGTCTCGGGCCAACGAAAACGCTGGGAAAAGGTGTGCGCGACACGGAACTTCGACTTTGGTTCAGACTGCAACCAGACTATGACGGAGTACTCCGTACCCAGGTATGTAACTATTATGAATGCCTTGACCCTCACCTCTTGCACATGGCTCATGTTATGTGTAGGCACTTGAGGGTAATGGTAATGTGGGAAGATACTACAAGCCAGGATGGAGAAGCAGCCAAGGCAACGCCCACTTCTCGCTGATCATGGCGTGATGTGCGCATTTGTGCTCAACGACTGCCACCCAAACAGCGAGGGGATACAAGACAGGCAGGTCCGAGGCGGCATACACAATTGTCTCGACTGTCTTTGATCCCTCGATTGTGCATGACGGCCAAGGCTGCGAATGCTACGGTTCCTGACAAAGGATGTCATCAGTGCCAAAGGCGTGGCAAGATGATGCGAAGTTGACGCCCGCCGGTTTTTGTCAGCGCGGCTTATCTGCATCGCTCGCTGCCTCCTTGGCCGAGCATGTACATATCTTCTACTACGTACAATCCAGTATTATATCCATGTCTTGATTGCATAGAAACAACTAGACGTGGCTAACTACAGACTACCTACTAGAAGATATGATGGTGTCGTACGAAAAAGTACTCGAACAGACGACCAGGGTCGGGCTGGGAATCTCCCACACCCAACAGCTAAACCCTGCAGACCAGAACACATGCGCACAGAGTTGACACTGCGTCTAACCCCCGTCAATCTGGGAAACAATGTGGTCCGCATTCGAATGAAGCTCGTCCAAAAAGCAGTGCTGCCGACCGAGTGGCCAGTTGTTAGCATTGCTTTGACTTTACCCCGTCTCTGCGAAGCCGCAATCTTCAACCTTCAACACTCCTTGGCCAAACCCGAGCTGGAGCTGGGATTTGCTTTTCTCCCCACCGCCGGGCTCTGGGGTCATCGCCAAATACAGCTTTCTGCATGTCTCCAGCAACCAACCACGTTCTGCGCTCCCTCTAGAGCCATTTTCTGTTGCTGTAAATAGATTTGCCTGGCAGAGACACGCTCCCGAAGAGCTTGCGTCTTGCAGCCGCCGTTTTTGATAGACCGAGACGAGAGTGGTTTGCAATGCTTCACGCACACTGGGTCGCGACCAGTCACCAAACCTGACCGACATACTGACTTGCACCGCGTCCCATCCTTTAACCGCCGACAAGATTTGCTATCCTCGCGGCAATCCTAACCGACGTCGAAGCATTCTGTTCTATTTTCAGAAATCAGGGAGTCCGCAACCCTTCACGCGAGATCCGTCTCGTTTGGAGCGCCCCAGCAAAGTGAAGTAACCATGGCCTCGCCCCGTGATGCAGCGCGACTTCGTCCGGGCCTCAATCTCCTCACCACGAACTCGCTGGCTCCTAATACATATGGCAACCATGTGAACTCACCTATGTCTGCCGTATCTATGGCTTCTCCTTTTATGCAGTCGGCGCAGACGCCCAGTAGTGCCATTCAGCCATATAATCCCCAGGAATGGGTTCCGTCACCAGCTCAGATGCCCGATAGGTCTCGCCAGTTCCCTGTCGATGGAGGGCAAGGTACGAAAATTTAGTTTTTTTTATCTTTAACTCACCCACTTGTATTGACCTTTTTATCTTGCCTGCAAATCCTAACATGAGTGTATATCAAGCGTCGGCGGTGCCTCCTCCTCCATACAGCCCTCCTCGAAGCAGGCCGCAGCGACCGATGAGCACCGCCTTTGAACATACCGTTGCGCCGGGCTCAACGCCTCCGCCTCCATCCAGGTTGACAATATCTCCTCCTCATCGGCCTTCTCCAGAGCCGCCTGTGAACCCCTCGTTTCCTCCGCCGCCTGGCGCTGGGGGAAGAGGAAGCTCAAGAGACCGCCGATTTGGATTACCGTCTCTTGGGCGCAGAAAGGATCATGAGCAACCGCAAGCCAGCTCGCCTGATCCCCAAACAGCTGCCATACAAATGAGAAGAAGTACGGGTCCTGCAATGTCTCAACCAGAGCCTGAACGCATTGTAGCACCTATACCGAGTACTCCCTTCACGGGACCTCCAGCAGCTCGTAGGGCGGCCTCGACTGGTGCAATTGATACCCCGACATCTCAACGATCTCGGTCAACATCGCAAACGAGGTGGGAGCCTGGAATGCCGCTTCCACCGCCACCACCCGGGCCCCCACCTTCGTCGTCAAGATCGCAGAGTGTTCAAAGCGTAGACCGAGCCAGCGTTCCAATCATCTCGCCTCCAACCAGGCGGCCACCACCAAGTGGTGTTACGTCTTTGGGCCCTGTTCCTCCCACACCCGCGGACTGGGTTGATGCTGATGCAGAGCCCAGCCAATCTAGCCAACCGAGCCAGTCTGGTCGCGGGCGGTCCCCTGGCTTGGTGATTGATACTACAACTGCTGCTAATGCCACGGATGTCCCAGATCCGCTAGGATCTTCCAACAGCGCAGGAGGCTTGAATAGAGCTAGGGCAGTGCGACATGATAAGACAATCCTCCAACGAAGAGCCGAGAGCCGAAGCCGCCATACATCACATGGCTCTATTGATGCCATTGCACAACCGCATAACATTTCAGATATTGTTGTTCCTTCGAGTTCTGTTGGCGTAATGCAAAGGTTCATGGCTGGAAAATCGACACCTCGTAGCGCAGGCAGAAGGGATGGTGAGTTGCCTCGAACAGCCGACTCATTGACGCTTCAAGATTCTCGAAATTCAACGCCACGAGCGCCAAGGTCCGGACAACTTGAAGCCGCTACCCCCCCATTTTCCCCATATCACGGCAAAGGCGTTCAAATGCCTACACCCTCCAAAGCCGTGGCCCCCAAGGCTCTACCGACTCCCCCTCCTCAGACACGGTCAGCATCTGGCTCACGGCCAAGAGATCCATCTCGCCCCCCCATATCGGCATTGACGCCTATTTCTAAACAAACGGTCATTAGTCAAACCGCTGAGCAATTTGCTACTGCTACAATCGAGAGATTCCGATCATTCGCCGCCAATGAATCAGCCGCAGCATCAGATGCGGATAGAGTTCGTCTGTTTGCCGATTTCATTGTAAACGAATCCCGAATTCGACGAGAACGATATTCCTCAGCCATTGGAGCAATGGGCTCGGAAATTTTTGATCTTACTCGTGACCTGTTTCGTCCAGTGGTCTCCTCGTCAAGACGGGAGTCCGGAGCGTCTCAAGATGAATGGACACCAGCGTCGACAGATCTAAGTTGTTCCCAGAGAGACTCAACGAGTTCGATTGTCCATGGTGAAGGGCTGTCAAGCTCGGCACCAGCTTCTGCCGGCCTTTCCGCATCGCCTGGCAGCGCCCAGCCACAAGGTAACTGGACCAATAACTATATGCCATCCCTTTCTCCGATCCTCAGCATGAGCGTCAGTGACAACTATGAAAATGGAAGCTCGCGTGGACGACCGCCAAGCCGGTGGTGGGAGACCGATTCTCAGGGAGAGCCTCGCGTGTTTGAGAGATCCAAGCGAGAATCCAAGTACATGGGAGTTCCCAAGGATCAATGGGTTGAGGAGGAGCAAGGAACAGGGGCTTTTATCGGAACGAGCGAGTACGAGCCGTCCACGGAATATCCGCCAGAAAAGATAGGATGGCACGACCAAGAGGAGTCGTCATCATCCTGGACACCGCAACCGTTGCGGCTTTCTAGTGGAACACCCGCGGGTTCAAGTTCGTCCCAGACGTCACATCATAGGCCCGACGCAGTGGATGTTTCCCGGCTCGTTACTCTGCCACCACCATACCCTCGGCATTATCCTGCTCTCAATAATAACCATCCGGAATTGACAGCAACGCGGACAGCTGTCAGAGCTTTGAATGAGCTGGCAGAAATCAATAATGTAAAAGAGAGATTTGCAATCGCCAGCTCCAAGCGTCGTGAAGAATTCTCCAAGGCAGCGTCTGAGCGTCGGCAATCGCTGATGGCCAACTTGCAGAAAGAAATCAGCTCTGGGAACATTGGGTACGCAGATGCTGCTGTTATTGAGTCGGATTCTCAACAGCAAGAGAAAAATAAGAAGAAGGAGCTGGAAAAAACGGAATACGAGCAATTCCAGAATGAGGTCATTCGCCCCCTTAATGATCTCTTGACTGCCCAAATCGCAAAAGCTGATGCTCTTTATGAAAACTTATCGAAGCACCTTTTTGACAATGGCCAAATGGATGCTGATATGCCGCAAGAGGAGGGGGATGACCGACCTGAATTACTCGAAAAGCTTACTCTGTTGAAATGGATTTTCGAAACCAGGGAATCCCTGCACCGAGCTATTTATGATATTTTATCTGACCGCAATACACGATATCGCGAGGTAGTCCTTACACCTTACCGTCTTTCTGGAAACAATGAGAAGCTCAGGTCCGCGGAGGCATTTTTCGCTGAGGACGCCGCAAAGCGAGAATATTCGCTCGCCACTGAGGTTCTGGATCGGGCTCGACAGTTCAGAACTACTGTTGAGGAGGCTGTCGAGCGTGGAGTTGCTTTGCAACTGTCGGCATTCTGGGACATCGCCCCGCCCCTACGCCAGTTACTCGATAGCATTCCAGAAGACCTTGACGGATTCAACATTCAGATACCCGCTTCCGAGTTTGAGGAGAACCCGGCATACCACGACCACCCGTTGCAGTATCTTTACAGTCTTTTGATGCATGCCGAGAAGAGCACGCGTCAGTTTATCGAATCCCATACCAATCTACTGTGTCTCTTGCACGAGGTCAAGGGAGCAGTAGTAAATGCCAAGGCAAGGGTACTGGAGACACAAGTCACTGAGGCTGACGGCTCAGCTATCAGTGCTGAAGACCGAGAACAGAGGGCCAACAGCATGAGACAGATGGAAGATCGACGATTAACAGAGGATCTCCAAGAAAAGGTGCGCCTAGTTGAGGAACAGTGGAATAGCGCCCTTGGCGAAGGGATCAAGACAGTCAAGGACCGTGCCGGCGTATTGCTTCTAAGTACCGGCGGGTGGGACGAGACGTTGGAAGAGGAGCAGTCGTTTCTGGGGTGGGCCAGATGACGTAATGAAATACACACACGGCCTAGAAGAGCTCTAGGTTACTTTTTTAGTCGAACTTCGTTGATAGATACCCCCTCAAACGAGGATGAAAGTTACGGCCTACGATGGGAATGAATCGGCATGGTTTCATCTAATGTGCCGTTCGCTGGCCGCTGTGACATGCATGGTAGTATTCGTAAAAAGAAGTAGATGAAGGGTATCAAGTTGCTATATTGATTGTACAGTGATTATACAATTCCCATTGGCCGTTTGGCCTCTTTCTTACTGTTTGTACATGCCTATTTCCATGCGCGCCAAAGAAGTCGGTGGGCATACCTTTCGGCCCTGATGTTCAATTAATGCAGAGATTTGTTTTTGTTGTTGCTGTCGGTTTCTGTTACACCCAGTAGGAAACAATCGGACCATTTTAACTCTAGGCCCGGCCCAATTGTTGTTGCGCTGCAACCCATTTGATAGTAACCCAAACAGGACGTAGCGTGGTCCAACTTTTTCATTTTTCGGTACTTTGCCGCGATGGAATTCTAACAAGAGTCCCACCTCTCCTTGTCGAGAAGCATTTCCCTTGTATGTTCGTCAACCGCCTGGGAAGGTGTCAAAACTTCTTTCCCCTCCCGTACAACTCGGGCATATCCATGCCGACGCGCCTGGCTGTCAGCCTCACTCTCTCCTCCTCGTCCATATCCATGCCTGGATTATACCGCTCTATCAATGTGACGTACAGCCTCTGAGAGCGCAGGTAGGCGACGAGTTGTTCTGCTTCGGCGTGTGAGGTGGCGGACGAGTCGGTAAATGAGGTGCGGAGAAGGTTGTGTAGATGGCTCCGGGGGGAGGCGAGGACAGGGCGGGGGGGTAGTTCGCGCAGGATGGAGCGGTAGATGGACCGCAGGCGGGCGGAGGATGTTGTTGGCATGTTGTAGTGTATTTGCGGCAATCGCAATGCCGGCTTGGGAGCAGGCAGATTGATTTGGGTGAATGGTGGTTTGTGTCTGATTCTCTCGCAAAGAAAACTGGTGGGGACGGGATTGAGAGCTGGTTTTGATTGGTTCGGGATGTCGGCGTGGGGGCTTGCATGGAGGGTGCCGCATGTCGTGTCGTGCCTGCCAACTTGCGTGCTCAGACCAGGCGGGGCAGTTTTGAACTATTGAACTGCTTGCTTATTCGACACCTCAAGTAAAGACTATTATTATTAAACTGCAATTGTCTACTTGAGGGTTTATTCATAAATCACTGTCCTTGATTTGTTTTGTATATTGGCTTATTCAGGTTATTATACACTGGAGAATTCGGTTGTCCATCATCACCTATCCCAAGCAATTCGTCACCACATTATCCTCGTGGACATCTTGCCATCGGCCACATCGGCATCGCGACGTCCCGGCTTGGATCAAGGGTCAAGCTGAAGTGCCCACCCCACGTCTGCCATTCACCTGGACTGTAAAAACGTACCGAGTCGACACTTTTACGTACCAAAACCCCTTCATTCTGCGCATATACATGCAGCCAAGCCTTAAACGTCGTCCGAAAAGAGCAAGAACTTCACCCCACCATCCTCGTACACCCTCTCATACCCTCATCCTCCTGGTCTTCGCCATCCTGTTCCTCACGCTGGCGCTTCTCATCCCTCACAGTCTCACAAACTCTGCCGTCTCCCGCCTCCGCCAACTCTCCAGCCATCTCCTCCGTCACATCCACCTCCCAACTGCCACAATGGTGACCGCCCCGTCCTACAGCCACGAGCTCGAGGTCGCGCAGCTCGCCGTCCAGCGAGCAACCATCCTCACCAAGCGTGTCTTCCATGAAAAGGCCAAGGGCACTGTCGACAAGAACGACAAGTCTCCCGTGACTATTGGCGACTTCGGTGCCCAGGCACTCATTATTGCTGCGCTGAAGCACAACTTCCCCGGCGATGCCATCGTTGCTGAGGAGGAGGCCGTCCAGCTGAAAGAGGATGCGAACCTGCGTCAGACGATTTGGGATCTAGTCAAGGATACCAAGTTGGACGATGACAAGGCTGAGCAGACGCTCGGTGGGGGTATCAAGAGCGTCGATTCTATGCTGGAACTAATTGATCTTGGAAACAGCCCGGGTGGTTCCAAGGGTCGCATCTGGACCATTGACCCTATTGATGGGACCAAGGGGTTTTTACGAGGTGGTCAGTATGCTGTGTGCTTGGGATTGATGGTTGACGGGGAAGTAAGAGTCGGAGTACTCGGTTGCCCCAACTTGCCTGTGGACGATTCGGCTCGTTTGACAGCAGACATTGGATCCAACGCCACCGATGAAGGACGAGGGGTCATCTTTTACGCGGTCGAGCATAAGGGAGCCGGTAGCCGACCCTTGACGACTGGTGGTCTCTCCCCGGACAGTAAACACATTGGCATGCGTCCCATCGAGGACCTCTCAAGGGCCACCTTTTGCGAATCCGTCGAGGCGGGACACTCCTCGCACGATGATCAGGCCATCATCTCGCAGAAGTTGGGCATCACAGAGCCGTCGGTCAGAATGGACAGCCAAGCTAAATACGGCTCCATTGCCCGTGGTGCGGGGGACATTTATCTCCGTCTGCCAGTGAAGGCTAGCTACCAAGAGAAGATCTGGGACCACGCGGCCGGTGACTTGATTGTGAGGGAGTCAGGCGGCCAAGTTACGGATATCTATGGAAAGAGATTGGATTTCAGTGTAGGCCGGACGTTGGCGAACAACAAGGGTGTTGTGGCTGCTCCCTTGGGCGTTCACGAGCGGGTGCTGAGGGTTGTGCAGGAGGTATTGAAGATTGAGCAATAAGCAGCACCGGGAACGGCAATAAAACAGGCTTGATGACTAGAAAGCTAGCAGACGAGACAATGACGATCGATTGATAAATCCGCAATATCTGTTATAAATGCTCTATATGAGAGTTCCAAAGATTGCACAGCTACTAGTACACTTATACTTGACGGTTCAAATACACGCCATGTTCCAACCATGGCCAATTTCCTCCCCCAAGATGCCACCTGCAACAACCGCCGTGCCCCAAGTGAGACTTTACTTGATCTTCTTCTGCTTCAAATTGATGGTCTGGTCATTGATAAACACCCCCTTGCCCTTGTACGGCTCCGGCGGCCGCCACTGCCTCACCCTCCCCGCAAACGACATGATGACCTCGCGGTCCGTGCCCTCCAGCAGGATTCTCGTCGGCGAGGGCGTCGTCACCGTGACGCCCTCCGGGATGCCCTCCTCGACAGGGTGCGTGAAGCCCAGCTTCAGACAGAGGAACTTCTGGCCCGGGTATTGCTCCTTGGCGCAGCGGCGCTCGACGCTCGCCCGGTAGCCCACGCCCACCAGGCGCAGGATGGCCGTGTGGCCCTCGGACACCCCCATTACATAGTTGGTCAGGTAGGACCACGACGTGCCTGGGTGGACCAATTGTTAGCAAGCTCTACCTGAGTTGGCACGCGCGATGGTGTTTGCGAGCTTCTGACGGAGAGGTCACGACGTACCCCACATCTCCTTTTGCTGCTTGACGTTTGCATCCTCGACCCCCAGTAACGCCGTCTTGTTCTCCAAATCCTGCTGCAAAGTCACGAATTCAGGAACATCAAGCTCCAGCGATCCTATTTCCCCCAAGTCAGGTTAGCTCAAATGCTTCCAACAGTTCTCACTTGACACCACCGGTCCCTTTATGAAGCGCGGCCATGAGAAAGGAACTTGAGCTCACCCAACGGTCCCTTCACTGTAATTGTCTTCTTAGCGGTAGGCTTGTATGAGGTCGCAACTTTGGATGTCTTCAAATCGCTCATGGACAGCTCCACGCCGGGAGGGATAGAAATCGGCGTTCGCCCAAGCTTCGAGGGTCGTTTCGGCGTCGTGGAGAAATGCCGTTGCGCAGACGTCTGCCACGCTGGCACCAGGAACCCCGGCAGCGCTACCTGCGGATTCACGAGCAGCACATGGCCCAATGCCTTTCCCTTAACAGGGACAAACCTTGAGGCCATTGAGATTTGTCTTTGCCGTGGCAATGGATGGGAGATGGCATGGACAGCCACTGATTTCCCGGCAGCTTTGGATGCAAGTGAACTTTTTGGTCGCTTAGTCATCTCATCACGTGTACCACTTGTTGACACCAGAATATGGGGTGCAATGCACAGCTGTACCAACAACATTGCATTTACTGGCACTGCAAATATACAAGTTCTTTTTGGAAAATGGTAGATTTCATAGTAATGTTTACTCAACAACTTGGTTGGTCGATGATCAGCATACAATGCTACAAGAGTGGCACCAACGCTCAATAATAATAAAAGGTATCTAGCAACCTCCTCTGGTTGTAACTACTTCCATAGCCCGAAGTAAAATTTGATCAACTCACGCCGCCCACATTCAAGTCGGACATTCTGGCTGAATACAAATAGCTTGTCGTAGAGTCTCTTACTCCAAAGGCTCGTCAACAGGAGCTTCTTCCTCGTACTCCTCTTCCTCCTCGTCAACACCAGCATCCTGGTACTGCTGGTATTCAGAGACAAGATCGTTCATGTTAGACTCAGCCTCAGTGAACTCCATCTCGTCCATACCCTCACCAGTGTACCAATGCAAGAAAGCCTTGCGACGGAACATGGCAGTGAACTGCTCACCAACACGCTTGAAAAGCTCCTGGATGGAGGTGGAGTTACCAATGAAGGTAGAAGACATCTTGAGGCCACGGGGGGGGATGGCGCAGAGAGCGGTCTGGATGTTGTTGGGGATCCATTCGACGAAGTAGGTGGAGTTCTTGTTCTGCACGTTACGCATCTGGTCCTCAACCTCCTTCATGGCGACCTTGCCACGGCTGAAACAGAAATTAGTACAACGGCCTCATATGGTATGCACATCATTGACGGGACTTACAAGATGGCAGAGCAGGTCAGGTAGCGACCGTTTCGGAAGTCAGAAGCGGCCATCATGTTCTTAGGGTCGAACATCTGCTGGGTGAGCTCAGGGACGCTGACGGCGCGGAAAGAGTGAGCACCACGGCTGGTCAGGGGAGCGAAGCCGACCATGAAAAAGTGCAGACGAGGGAAGGGGACCATGTTGACAGCCAGTTTACGCAGATCAGAGTTCAGCTGACCGGGGAAACGCAAGCATGTGGTGACGCCAGACATGACGGCAGAGACGAGATAGTTCAGGTCACCGTATGAAGGGTTGGACAGCTTGAGAGTGCGCATGCAGATATCGTACAGAGCCTCGTTGTCGATGCAGAAAGTCTCGTCAGAGTTCTCAACGAGCTGATGGACGGAGAGAGTGGCGTTGTAGGGCTCGACAACGGTGTCGGAAACCTTGGGAGAGGGAACGACGGAGAAAGTAGCCATCATTCGGTCGGGAAACTCTTCACGGATCTTGGAGATCAACAGAGTACCCATACCGGCACCGGTACCACCACCAAGAGAATGGGTGATCTGGAAGCCCTGGAGGCAGTCACAGCCTTCGGCCTCGCGACGGACAACATCAAGGACATTGTCGACAAGCTCAGCACCTTCAGTGTAGTGACCCTTGGCCCAGTTGTTGCCAGCACCAGACTGACCAAAGACGAAGTTGTCGGGACGGAAAAGCTGGCCAAAAGGACCGGCACGGACGGCATCCATGGTGCCGGGTTCAAGATCGACAAGGACGGCGCGAGGAACATACTTGTTACCGGAGGCCTTTTGAGGGGTCTTCGCGTCAGTCTATGATCTCCCACATGGATACCAGCTTATGGTTCCTCAACATCCTAGGTTTCAGCTCATTCAAACTTACCTCATTGAAGTAAACGCTCATACGCTCGAGCTGAAGCTCAGAGGTACCGTTGTAGACGCCATTGCTGTCGAGGCCGTGCTCACCAGAGATGGTCTGCCAAAAAGCGGCACCAATTTGGTTACCCTATCGAAATATTGTAAGGTCCCCCTCTCCGTAATAATTCATTCGAAAATGGCGGTGAAACTGTTTACTTACGCACTGACCGGTCTGAAGGTGAACCTGTGGAAGATTAAAAGAGAAAAAATCGTCAGTCAATGTTGGTTATGATGATGCGGCGCGTTTTGCCTCGTCCTGATGACCCGTTGGGCGTGCTTGGACGTGGCCTCCTCGTACAGCGGGGTACCAAAATCAGGGGCAGAGCTTTGGAACGCGTCGAGGGGTCCTAGACAGCAGAGGGGGACTCACAATCTCACGCATGTTGGCAGATTATCTTCGACGACAGTTCGAAACTTGGGTGAAAAGTGAGGTTGATGGAAGAAGCACGATAGCTATGCAGAGCTTCACGATCCGTAACGGGTTGGTGTAGGAGAGCAAGGGAGAAGAAGTCGCGGAGGTGTTGATTTTTGTTGGAGATGGGGTTCACCGCCATAAGCTGGTACTAAACCCCTGGCTGGGGAGGCAAGTGCAGCGGCATCAGCCCCCGGAAGTACCTGCCCCGCCTTCACTTTCGCTTGTTTACGCGCATGGTCTGTGCATCCCCAAAAGGGGCAAGGCGGCAAGTCAGGCACCTGGCTGTGAGTGGCTCTGGTATTTCCTGAGGTTGAGATGGGTGAAAATGCGACAACACCAGACGTATGCCCCCTTCAATGGCATACTACTCCGTATCGATTGGATAAAGAGTCCAGTATCCGAAAGCCGGCAGAGTACCACAATGACCCCAATCAAATGGAGCGGCGTTACGGGCTATCTAGTCTGATGTTGTTCGGAGTACATAGTACAGAGAACGGACGGAACAGCTCGCGGGAGATCAGATCAATTGATGAGGTTGACCGGGTTGACCCACCACTGTCTGGATCCAACTTCTACCGCCACACTGAGAAAGTGAGTAGGTTACGGGTCATAACAACACAGCAATTGGACCTGCGCACATTCAAAGGGTCGTGGCTGAAAGCCCCTGTCGGCTTGCAAGTAGGCACACTGTGAGCGTAGGGTAATGTCGTTGACCGGAGTATCAAGCCGCCAGATGATCTCATTGTCCCAAGCAATCCTCGGAAACTGTTGCTCTGTTCGAATATGGGTCGCAAGGGTTGGCTTGCGACTTGGTCTCAATAAGTTGGCGTCATGTGAACCCCCCTTTTCCTCACATGAAATCTCACCCTTCGCGGATTTCACTCCGACATAATATTCTTATACCACCATGTTCAGCGATCTTTTGCGCGATGAATTCGATCAAGGCATGCCTTAAAAAAACACGGTCTCATATTTCGAAGCTACTTGTACCACAGTCTCAGCTCATACCGTTTGTGCAGCCGAGTTTAGCCGTGGAAGAACCGGATTATTACAAACCTGGCGGGTTTCATCCTATATCCCTTGGGGATACATTTCACCATGACCAATATACTATCCTGAGGAAACTGGGTTATGGGCAATATTCTACAGTTTGGCTAGCGAGAGATTTACGTTGTTCATCGCCGTTGTACTCAAAGCTAACTGGAGGCAGATGCCGAAGATATGTAGCACTCAAGATGTTGAGGGCTGATTGTTATGGTGGCACCCATGATATTTTCGAGACAGAGATTCTCTCAAAGATCTGTGCAGTAGCTAGGCAGAGCTCTCACGAAGGGCGCGCTCATGTGTCGCATCTCCTCGACAAGTTCAAGCATAAGGGACCCAATGGCGAACATGTTTGCCTCGTGTTCGACGTACTAGGACACCATCTGGGTTTCCAAACGGCTAAATACGAGGACGGAAGATTACCTGTAAAAACCGTGAAGTTAATTGCAAAACAGCTACTGCTAGGACCTGATTTCCTTCACAGAGAGTGCGGTATTATTCATACTGGTATGACGTAACATATCGTGTGGATATCCATGTTTTTCTGTGCATTGCTAACATCTCCTTTCCTCGAATAGACCTAAAACCAACAAATGTACTCTTGGAGTTGGAAAGCCCGGAAAATGCCATTTCCCAATACCTGTCGGTAGTTCCCCCGCGGAGGGCCGGTCCCCAACGTGGTGCTCCGCTTCGTGAGGTTATCACGACACCACCAATCTCCGAAATAAAGCATCCTCCTGTCAGAATTATTGATTTTGGCGTCGGTAGGTAAACTACGTTCCCAACCATCACATATGAAACTTACCGCGTCATACATAGCATCTTGGAGAAAAAATCATCTGTCAAACCTGATCCAGTCACCGGCATTAAGGGCACCAGAAGTAACCATCGGCGCCCCCTGGGATACTGGTGTCGATATATGGAGTCTCGGATGTCTTGTGAGAGCATTTCACTATTCCTGTGCATCATAGGAACTATTCTGACATTTAATTGCCAGATTGTGGAGATTATCCAAGGAGTAGCTCTGTTCTCCGGCGAGGGTCCAGCAAAGGGGACATGGACGGCTGAAGATGACCATTTGGCAAGAACTGTCGAGATTCTCGGCCCCTTCCCACTTCCTTTCATTAGACAGGGAAGTCGCGCAGCACACTTTTTTGATATGCAAGGTATATTCCCTCTCTAACATCGATATCTTGTTGCTTATCCAATACGCTTTGCCTGTAGGAAACCTTGTGCGAATCCCGAACTTGAAATCTACGAGCCTTGGACGCTTGCTAAACGGCACATCGAAGCCGTTTCTCAAGCCCGAGGAAATGCCCGATCATGAAGTCGATATATTTATTGACTTCATTAAGGGCATGTTAACAATCGATCCGGGGTCTCGAAAGTCTGCGGTAGAACTGCTGCAACATGAGTGGATTCATCCCCGATGAGACATAGAGTAGACATTGAAACGATTCACATACAAACTCGCAACCCTTTTGTGGTGGCATATGGAATTCTGCACAACAAGCCGCCCTCCAAAGAGTGAGTGATGATTGGGTGGCGTCACCTGGTAAGCACAGCCGGCGACCGGCAAACGGTCCGGTAGTTCTGATCAACAATTCATGAGGGGTATGAACTAGTGTTATTACTTAGTGAGCAATTGTCACGACGCTTATCGGGTTTGGCCGTTGAAATAAGTGTTGTGCTCGTAGGGAACGTATTTCGCGACGAGAAACAAGGAGAGCCATTGTGACAATAGTTTGAAACCTTGCAATCGGTCGGCTCTTAGTCCATCAGCTCAGTGCTTAAATCGTAATAGAATAGCCTTGCAACAACGTCCTTTCCTCTCAGTGATGCACAATTGCAGGCTTGGATTCCTCTTTGGTCGCTCCTCCGCTGAGCTGACGATAAGTTTCCTGATATGTTTTGGCCATGTCGTCTTTGGAGGTTCTTCCCCAGTTCGCAGCTCGTCCCGTAGTTACTTGTAGCTCTCCTAGTCCTTCATAGGCGGTAATTGTAGCATTACAAATCTTCAGTTCTTCGCATGGCTCCACCAGACTCTTTATGTAGGAAGTCAAGAGTCTTCACTTTGTCTAAGCTGTCCAAACAGTCGTGCTGTGTGGCAGCCTAGTCGTCATCTACTTACCTGGTAGATAGCATGATAAATCCATGTACCTTTCGCCAAGTGGCAACACACTCGATTCTGATGTGCAGGAGCTGCGGAACTAAATTGCCAGCCATGGTATACACGGTTGGACAAAGAATTCATTCATGAAACCACACGCTTGGCATTGAGGTAGTCAGCGGGCTCTAGCACCAACAGTACAGTCAACAAGTCCAGTTTAACATGACACTCCTCAGAAGCTTAAGCCTCATCTCTATATTCGTGAATAACTGCTTCACGTGCCCCGAGGATCTGCTAACTTAACCTAGTAATTGAGTTCTTTCCAGATTCCCTATCTAATCATATCATACGCTGGCCAATCTTACAATGGTCTTGCCACTTATTATTCTTTGACGGAGTCGGCTGAATGACAAGACGGGGGAAATTGTGCATGAGCCCTGCCGCATCCGTTTTCGTTTCAACGCAGGGCAAAGATCTACCAAACTCATTTTTCAGATGATCGCGGACTTGGGCATCTGTGATGACTGCATTGCCGGATGCATTCTGGCTGTAGTGAGAGACTTGACAAAGGCTCGTGGCCGTATTCCCATTCGCGGCGTTGTCGTGCGACAAGCATAATGGATCCACGAGAGATGGATGACTGACATACATTTCTCTGGAAACTTCGGATATCTCTGCTCCAGTTTACGACGGCACTCAAACATGTCGGTTCCCTAGGTCTCGTGCGTCGTACATATCTTGGTCACCGCGCTGAGGAGTGCCGACGGCGGATTGTTCAAGGAACCCGTGCTTCTGAAATTTCCTCCATCTTCTGCCTCGCCAAACAAAATCATGATGGGACAACGCCACGGTAACCGTCATCTGGTGAGCTGACCGCCACGTCGACACTTCCGACAGCCTTCAAACCAATGGATGAATTCTCTGTATTCTCATCATCCCTGGTAGCTAAGATTAAAATTTTGGTCTAATGAGCCTTCACAACACCAGCCGCGTCCGCCTGAGCCGAGATCTTCTTCTTGTACGCCTGCACGTCGCCATCAAACTTCTCGACGGTTCCCTTGTCACACACCCACAGTGACGTACACACCATCTGCAACATAGTGACGTCGTGGGATACCATGAGAACACCTCCCTGGAAAGCCTGCAAAGCTTCCGCAAGGGCATCCATAGCCTCAATATCAAGATGGTTGGAAGGCTCGTCGAGTACGAGGATATGGGGATTGGTGAGGGCCAGGCAGGCAAATGCCACCCTTGACTTCTGTCCTCCAGACAGTAGAGCCATCTTTTGCAAGCCTGTGGTGCCGGTGATGCCAAAGGCTCCCAGTTGTCTTCGATATTCCTCGTCCGTTTTTCCAGGATACGTTTTTGACATGAAGCTGACAGCGCTAAGTGACAAGTCGAGGGCATCCACATGGTGCTGCGCGAAAAATCCAATACGTAGACGTGGGTGAGATGTGACTATACCCTTGGACACTTCCAATTTGCCGATAAGAAGCTTCAGAACAGTCGTCTTACCGGCTCCGTTGGGACCTACGATACCGATGCGGGAATCTAGTTGAACATCCAGATCCACATTCCGTAACAAAGGTTTGTCCTTTGTATATCCAAAGTCGACTTCGGACATCTGGATAATGGGCGGTGACAGCTTCTCCACGTCGGGGAAGGTGAACTTTACACTGTATTCTGACTCCGGTGGCGTGAGGACAGGCATCTTTTCCAGCTTTTTAATGCGAGACTGAGCTTCGGATGACTTGGCAGCATTGTAACGGAACTTGTCAATGAATGCCTGGAGGTGAGCTCTCTGCGCCATTTGGTTCTCGTACTCCTTCTTGGCAACCTTCTTTCGTTCCTCGCGGGTGGCGTAAAAGGAGTCAAAGTTGGCACCACGGTAGTAGTCAAGTCGTTCAGAATGCTGGTGAATAATATCGGTCGCAACCTCGTTCAGGAATGCTCTGTCGTGGGAAACAACAAGCACAGTGCTGGGATAGCCTTGCAGGTAGTTGGAAAGGAAAGTAATGGAGGGAACGTCCAACATGTTGGACGGTTCGTCGAGCAGCAGCAGATCAGGCTCGCAAAACAGGGCACGGGCGAGCGCAAGACGCATTCTCCAACCACCAGAAAACGTCTTGGTGGCGTATTTTTGCCTCTCGGGAGAGAACCCAAGACCTGCTAGAATACTGGCTGCTCGTGATTCTGCTTTATCAGATTCCATCTCGGCCAATTTGGACTGAATGTCGCCCAGTTTGCTATCCTTGGCTTCCTTTTCGCGATCGAGCTTGGCAGCGTCGGCAGACGTGTCGGCAAGGGGCGCTCGCCGAGCTTCCAGCTCAGCCAAGCTAGCAGTGAGTTCCTACACGATATGTTAGCCGCTGGACGGTGCATCTTTTAAAAATAGGGCTTGCTACACACCTCTTGTTCTCTCAAGAGAACCTTCCGCCAGACATCAGCATCGAGAACTGCTTGCAGTGCAGGTGTGTCGTCTCCCGTAATCTGTACAGTCGATTAGCATGTTTGTGTTTCACGAGGCTCAAGTACGGTTGGTCAGACTTACTTCTTGCTCTACGTGTAGAATGGATATGTGCGTAGGAATGGCAACCTCTCTCCTTGACAGGGCCCGCAAAAGCGTAGATTTACCCACACCGTTATTACCAACCAGACCATAACGATGACCATATGCAAGGGTAAGAGTAGTATCCGTAAGAATCCTATTGCCGCCAATCGACACATCAATATTGTCCAGTTTGACGTCCTTGGTCTTATTTGCGCTGGAGCTGCCCATTTGAAGAGGATTGACAGCCATGTAGAACTCTTCGTACGACTGCGTATTCTCCGGCTGGTCCAGCAACCTCGATGCCTCATACTCTACAACCTTGAACGTCTTCTTCTGTTGCTTGGCCGCAATCTTGCGCTCCGCCTTTTCGAGCTTCTTCCGATCGACCTTCGATTCGACTTTTCTAGCATTGGCCTGCTCCAGATCAACACCGCCAGTAGCCACGGCCAAGGTTGACGACATGTTACGCTGAGTGCTGACTTGGATGGTCTGGTCTAAGCGCTTAGCTATGGAAGGGCCTGTTCGCTGACCCCCGTTTGCTTCGGCATACTTGTCGACCCATTTCTCCACGAGCTGCTTGACCTTTTTCTCAACGGATGGATTAAAGTCGCCGGAGGCGGAGAGAAGTAGTTCGGTGATGGCGGCGGCAGCTTCGCTGAGAGGTGACAGGCCAGATGTCTCTTCATCGTCGGTCCAGGCTGTTGAAGCGTGCGTCAGGTAACCGACGGAGTAGTCTGAGACCACAGGATCGATGTTGGGAAGAACAGCTCTGATATCGGCTTCCATCCTGCATATCGTTGATCCGCATGCGATTTCGGGCAGGAGTTGTTGCTTTCGAACTTGGGCTGCTAGCTTTTTAACTTCAATCTGGAGATTTCAGACGTCTATGCCCCGCCAAAGCTTTCGGCGGTGATGGATAGTGGGGTCCTTTCACGGCCCGTTTCGGTCCGCCAGAACTCTCGGCGACTGTCAACATCCTACCTAACCTAGACCGATTTTCCACCCACGCGGTCAAAATAGCTGCGGAATCGGGATAATATTTAGACATGTCCTGAATGCTTCTGTTGTTGTTTATTTTCCTTGTATGATACTGCATATTCTTTCCCATTCAGTCGTTTTCAATCTTATCCTTGGTACTGAGTATCTAAATTCATATTAATCACATCAGAGTGATCTATACAGACGGATAGGGAAAATCGGCCAGGACAAGCTGACCAAGTTGTCCTACACATCCACAATTTACCATTCCAAAATAAAAAAAGGTAATTGGAATAAACGTTCCTTCACAATCAGCCACGGGTGGGATTACCAGTCAGAGTGTCACCGCCTCAAACGGTACCTGGCACCAGTGCCATGTTATCACTCCACAATGCAAACTTTCTCGCCGCAACGACCGGAACCGCAGGAACTCGGCTGAGGGTAAGCCGTCAGCTATAGTCAATCTTATCCGAGTCATAATCGGATGAATTGGTACATGGCTCTGTCTGGTGATGAGACGCAAGCACCAAGTCCACTTGTTGATCAGCTTTGTGTAATTGCTCGAGCTAAGCACTCTGATTTTTTTGGCTGTAGAAGACTGGTCATTGCCTCTAGCGCGACCGTAATTGGACACAGGTGGAGAGTCATCATTTCCAAATTGAAACATATTCCCCCACGAGAATTTTTGTTGAATTACTATTCCGCATGTTGACTGATAACATCAGGACATTCTAGTTGGCATTTTAGTGTCGATGTCGTTCTTGGAACAACCACTTCAACGGGCCATGTTCAAG